ACCCAAGCTGCACTCTAGAAGTCAATTAAGCACAATCATACAATCGTGGACCTTTGGCTATGAAACGTTTAGTCGCTAATGGTTCTCTACCAACCGGCCATGTTTTTTCCATGTCATTAAGGCAATGCAAAAACGATGAAATTATTAGGATGCTTTGGTGAAGAAATTATTCTGTCTATAGTTCTTTTTGGATAATTCATTTTCCCGCAGTCGAAAATGGTCATTAGAGACGACTTGCGACCTTTTGTCTCGTATTGGAATCGGGTCATTTGGACGGCTCATCTCGACCCTAATTTCCTGCTAAGTTATCGAGCAAGGAAGTAGCCACCTACTTCGAAGGGAGCCTCCTGCATTCCTCTAGATTTGCTACTCAACTTTTTTGGCTGGTGCAAAAAGATTTGTTGAAGAAAATATTAGAGTTTTGCATGAGGGATAATAGTACAAATAGTCTTTGAACTTTGACATAATGTTCAATGTGGTTCAAGAACTTTTAATCTGTTAAATATAATTTGTGAACTTTAGTCTAATATTCAATGTGATTCATAAACTTTTAATTTGTTCAATGTGATCCATGAACTTTTGATACATGTTCAATATAGTTCAAGGACGACATTGAACATATTAAAAGCTTAGGGATACATTACACATTGAGTCAAAATTTAGGGCCCATATTGAACAAATTAAAAGTTTAAGGATCACATTGCACATGAGACCAAAGTTCATAGACTGTTTGTGTCATTTTCCCTATGCGTGGGCATCACTTCTACATACGACAAACTATTTCCATGCCCTTTCAAAAGCAGAAAAAGTAGGTTATACACTGGGGGAAGAAATGGTAGTTTGACTAAGCTTCAATATAAGAATTTTTTTTTTGATCGAATTCAATATAAGAATTAATTTACTTCAAAAAGGTGAGCGGTTCTTTCTTTGAAAGCCCCTATATTTTACGAGTTTTTTCAAATGTACCTCGAACTATATTTTAGCTGCCTCGATCAAGACTCGTTGATGAGCAAGAGATAAGACAGATCCGTCTCCTTTGGCGATTTGAATCAATAAGTTTGATGGTGAGGTTGAAGCTTGACACACTCTTTCTCCACCAAACATCTTGGCGTTTGGTATAGCCAGCTTTTATTTGGCATTGGACATGAGGCAAGAGATTGCCTCCGCTCCACTAATTAAATGTATTCAAATCTCACTTAATCTAATCGGTCCAGTTTTGACCCAAAAAAGAAATAATTGGTCTAGTCCATCCAATATTTTTGTTTATCTCGACCGTCCTGCTAAAGTAACGTCATATTTTTTTATGAATACAAATGTCAATCGGGTTATAGGGAAAAAAAAAGTCATATTCATTTATAAAACGCGACATCTTTTCCTAGTCAAATCATTGATGTTGACCACCATGATTATTATTTCATGATTGCCCATTTTACAAGGCTAATGTTTATGAAATTTTTCCCGAATTCGTCGATGGTTTCAAAGAAAAAGTCTACGTGATCATTATTGAAGGATTGATAAGTGTGCGCGAGAGAAATTGGACACGTAACATATTGTTGTACGCATGTCACCCATTCAACGATGACGGTGTAAAATTGGTAACTAATAGTGCCAAGGGACCTTAATAACAGTCAATAACCTATCTTCTAGAGCTTTAATATTTTTCGACCGAAGAGAAAAAGCTTTAATATTGACCGGTCAACTCATGTATTGGATTCTCCATGTATGTGTGTTATTGCTCATGCAATAGTCAACTTGGAAGTTGTTTAATGCCACGATGACAATAAGTTGATCGCAAACACCTTTTTAGAAATTAAATCAAGTCGGGACTAAAATATAAAAAGCACCTTTGACTTTTTTTTTTGGTTCCAAAAAGGCATCTTTGACTTTGAGATTTAAAAGCCGATGGTGTCAGCCGCATCTTCCGGAGCCGAGTCGCCTCGCTAGCATAACAAAGCCAAGCCGTGATCCTCCTCCTCTTCTTCTTTTTCCTTTTTTACCATTTTCTGGTCTTTAAGGTTAAAAAAATAGAAAAAACTGTTGAGTTCCTCAAGTGCTAAAAACTCAGCGGAATTTATAAACCGAAATCCTAGACAGAATCCATGCATATATTGAAATATAAACAGAAGTTCGACACGTACCTTTTGCAGATCGAATGTAAATTGACAATCGATTGTGTCTGGATTAGCGCCCCAAGTGTTGCGCCTCTACCGGTATCCACACACACGAACCGAAGTCTCCAACGATCCAAGTACTAGCTAAAGATCTTGGACTTTTTTTTCCTGATCGCCTTTGATCTTCGAGACTCTCTCAAAGATCTCTGAACAGAGAACGATTCTCTTCGTATTTTCCTACGATTTTTTTTTTTCCGTCACCCACACGCTATATATATAGCCTCATTATCTACGCGAATTAAAAGAAATGGAGCCGGGCGATTTGGGCCCGCCAAAATATCCACCTTCAATCGTACGTTTAATCGTTATCTCATAACGTGCACGACCGCATAGATAAGTTGAATAGGAAAATAAATTAAAATCTACTTCTTATTTTAAGTAGATCCCAACGCATAGAAAATATTAACTCAGTTCGTTATTGTGTGCGACCCTGTGGGTTCACTAAACATTAGCAGTGTGCTCAAAACATTTTTTGGCCCACAAGTCATAAGCGGTCTCTAGCAAGACATTATGACTACCTAAGTATAGTAAAGGTCGGTTTTCCGACACAACCTAATCCACAACTAATATTAGAGTATCAACCTTAATTGATTCTTAAAGCAGACCACTAACAAAAACGACACAAATGACTTCTGAATTTTAGCTCAATATGTAATGTCGTCTCTAAAATATGTTCAATTTAGTTCCTCAACTATATGGAAATATTCAATGTTATTCTTTCATTAATTGAAGTTAAGAATTTATTGATTTGGCTTCCAATCTGGTACATTTGAAAGATGGACAAAGAAATCGTTACGCATGAATTATTCACGTGTAATATTTATGTTTAGCATGGAGAAATCAATGCCATTTTACCCGAGACAAGTTACGTCGAACGTGCCATGTGTAGTTGTTATATGTTAATGCAACGCATCAATGCGCTTGTGATCTAAAAATGATGTTTTAGACATCCCGCAAATGGCACAAGCTGCGCAATAACACCATCTATGTCTAACGAAACTTGAAATCTCTCGTGTGGTGTGGAGTGTGAATGTAGCTTCATGCATCATCCTTATCCATGTATATTAACCTCTTTAGCGACACGTAAAAATCTAGAAATAATTGCATGCATAGATAGCCACCAACGCCCGTCACCGCAACAGCGACGACCTCCGCCAAGCTCGCCGTCGGCCGCCGCCAACCTCACTTGCATTTAATCGATAAGGAAACTGTAAATGTGACCTTTCGTGGTTTGTTTTAGATCATGTTAGAAGAAACTCCACATTTAGTCTTTTTCAGGGAAAATTACCAAAAAAGTGTTAAACTTTTTGTAATTGTGTCAATTCAGTCCTAAACCTTTTTTTTTTTGCCATTTCAGTCCTAAACCTTTTGCAATTGTGCCAATTCAGTCCATCCGGCCACTTTTGGCTGGCCGGAGTTGACGTGGACGCCAGCCGGCTGACGTGGCATTATTTTAATATTTTTTTTTCCTTTCTCTTTTTTTTTCTTTCCTTCTTCCCCACCTCGCCGGCAAGCCTCCCCCTGGCCGGTCCGGCCAGGGGGAAGAAGGAAAGAAAAAAAAAAAGAGAAAGGAAAAAAATATTAAAATAATGCCATGTCAACGCCGACAGGCCAAAAGTGGCTGGATGGACTGAATTAGCACAATTGCAAAAGGTTTAGGATTGAAATGGCCCAAAAAACAGGTTTAGGACTGAATTGGCACAATTGCAAAAGGTTTAGGACTTTTTTGGTAATTTTCCCGTCTTTCTCAAGATAAGGATGTTAACAAATGAATGAAAGCTTATGTCTAGTGAAAAATGTTTAATTACCCGTTGCATTTGGTATTTATATAATTATTATATATTGTATTATATGATTTAGCGACGATTGAAAATGTAACAAGAAACTATAACTTGAGAAGTGTTTATTTTTTTTTTTTTACATTTAACAGTAATTGCAATCACCGTGATACTTCTTGCTGTACCTTTGAACTTTTAGCTAAGATCATGGTAGACTTCACTAGGAATTTTGCTACAATCGCCACTAGAACTTTTAGCGACATAACCTATGGTTGCTTGTAAATCTTTTAGTGGCACTTATAATCGCCGCTAACACACTAAATAATTTCCATCACAAGTCAAATTTTTTATAGCGACCGCGCAGGTGGCAGAGATGGTGGTCGGTGGTGGCAGGCCGACAATCGTCTTGGAATGGCGGCGGCGGTAGCAGACGGAACCGGCAAAGGAGGCCACGGTTCGTGAGCGCTTGGGGGCTTCGGATGCTTGTAACAAGAGGGCAATTTGGTCTTTTCAATCACTAGGAATTTTGCTACAATCGCCACTAGAACTTTTAGCGACATAACCTATGGTTGCTTGTAAATCTTTTAGTGGCACTTATAATCGCCGCTAACACACTAAATAATTAACCATCACAAGTCAAATTTCTTATAGCGACCGCGCAGGTGGCAGAGATGGTGGTCGGTGGTGGCAGGCCGACGATCGTCTTGGAATGGCGGCGGCGGTAGCAGACGGAACCGGTGGTGGCAGGCCGACGATCGCCTTGGAATGGCGGCGGCGGTAGCAGACGGAACCGGCAAAGGAGGCCACGGTTCGCGAGCGCTTGGGGGCTTCGGATGCTCGTAACAAGAGGGCAATTTGGTCTTTTCAACGGCGGATTCGCCCGGCATTTCCTCGGAAGATAAATTTAACTTAGGGCAAAGAGCCAACTGGGAAGTGTCTGGCTTAGCCTAACCGAACGGCGAAGCCAACAAAGAAACAACCCTAACATTTTCAGCTCCTTTCTCTCTCTCCACGACACGCACACACACATTTGTCAATGGTCAGAATCGCTGGCTCAGTCATCATCATCTTTCCTCCTTCTTCTTCTTCCTCCCTTCCTCAATAAAACTTCCCTCAACCTTCTGACCTCATCCCTTACCCCACCAACCGCCTCTCTCTCTCTCCCTCTCTCTCTCTAACATTGCAGCTACTGCAACGAGTATATATACATTTACATCACAGTAAGTTTTATCTCCTTTTCAATCACACTCGATCCCCGTCCCTTCTGATTCTCTCAGAGTATCCGACCCGATGAGCCCTGCGAAATTTGCCGGTCATGGTGATCTCACCGCCACCACCAGGAGGGAGATCAACGGCCCCCGTCCGCCGCTGCTCAAGATCCACAAGGACTCTCACCTCATCAAGAAGGCCTCCCATCACTGTCCCTCCTCCTCTTCCAATAACTCGTCCTCCTCTTGTTCGTCTTCCTTGTCGAACCCTAATCGTTTACCCGCGGATTCGTCGCAGCAGCAGCAACCCCGCCGTCCGCAACCCCAAGGAACCCACCCCGTCATCATCTATACTCATTCGCCGAAGATCATCCACACCAAGGCCCGCGATTTCATGGCCCTCGTCCAAAAGCTCACCGGGTTCTTGCCGTCCCATCACCATGATGAAAGCGGACAAGCTCCAGCTCCAGATCCACCTCAGCCACAAAAAGCACCAACTGATGATAGGATCACTCTCAATGAACGGGACGCGTCATCCTCGGTCTTGAGTGAGGATAGACGAAGCAGTGCTGTTCCGGCGATCCATGAAGCTAATTGGATCTCTCCGATTCTAAGCCACCAAAACGCATTGATTTCGGAAATCCCGCTGTTTACGCCGAACGCCACGGATTTTTTCCTGTCGCCGGGGCATAGAATGTACAGATACCCTTATTCTGCTCACATGTCTCCAACCGCGGCGAATCGGATGATATCGCCTTCTATATCCGAGTTCATGCAAGAAATGCCAGAATGCTGAGATGAACGAAGCACATGAAGTGATTGGTGATGGAAGACTTGGAGAATATTTTCTTATTTTTCCTTAGAAGTGTTTGATTTGTTTCTTGTCCATAGCTTGAGAGAGAGATCTGTTGTATATGAGCTTTTGGTTTCCCACCTCTCTTTCCCTCAGAAAGAGCGAGCTATAGGGTTTCGTTTCACACGTGCATGCACTTCTTGGGATTCAATTCATTCATTTTGGCTAATAATTGAAAGGGGAGGGGTCGATCTTGATTCTCTCTTCTGACTGTGCTGACACTGGTTTTGCATTCGAAACTGGTAGTGGAAACGATCTTGAATACTTTCTCTGTCTCCCAGTTATTGTCTTTGGTGAATTTGCCAAAACGATGTTACATAGATTCACAATCTAGCCTGCCACATTGCAATTTGATGTATGAAAGAGAGCACAAGAAAAGTAGGCGCATGTTTTACGTTCCTTTTTTATCATATGGTCCTCCTTTTTTTTATCATAAGGTCTTCAACGAGTGTTGTTTTTTACTTGGAGGTACAACCGATCATAGATCAAAAGTTGTATAAATGATTTTTGCTCCTCCTTTTGTTAGTGAAAGTATTCGATCCGTCTTTTCGTTGGTCGGTTGATTTTGTTACAGTGAAGTATTAGTCCTCCAAAATTTGATTAATTTACCGAGACCTTGCTCATAGATAGATTGGATATCGCGATTGATTAAATTGGATATTGAAGAACTCAAGTTGTTTTCTTATTTATCTTTTGTAACGAGATTTTTTAAGGAACTCGAATTCGTTTTCCATTTTTAGATGGTGGATTTCAGACTGAGCATAAAATCACGAGAGCCAAAGTGTAGATTTTTTAGTGGTTCGAATTTTTCCTTCGAACTTTTGGTCTTTCGGATGAGACACATTTTAGAGATGTCAATAACTTCACATATGCCATATTTTTCCGTTCTAAGCAATATTCTGTTCAATTAATTACTTTATAATAACCTGTATATATATATATAGATATGACTTTTAGTGAATCTAGTATATAACATCAAGAGGAAGCATTTCTTTTAGGAAAAGAAATTATACTTAAGGTGGGTTGTGAATACTCGTTTACCTCATGGATCGAGTTATGAGGAACTAAGTTTGGGTGGATGGACCAAACATAGTAAATAGTGAAAAGGATTATTTATACAAACAAGATCGCACTAACTCGGACTAGAATTGTTTACCCCACTTTGTACCCCATTGAAGAATAATATATAAACAGTCCTATATTTATTAGAGATATTATGTTGTGGCCAATTCAGTTCTAAACTTTTCAATTGTATTAATTTTTTCCTAAACCTTTTGATAATTTATCAATGTAGTCATTTCTGCCAAATTTGACTAGGAATTGCTAACGTGGACAATTTTTGCAATTTTTGTAATTTGCCAACCTTTAATGGTAAAGAAAACAAAAAGAAAGAAAATATAAGAGAAAAACTAATAAAAAAATATGCAAAAATTGTTCACGTTAGCTCCGGTCATGTCAAGTAGGATGGCCGACGTCGACGTTAACAATTTCTGGCCAAAATTGCTCAGAATGACTACATTGACAAATTTTCAAAAGGCTTAGGACTGAATTGGCACAATTGAAGAATCTAAGAATGAACTGGCCACTGTACAATAGGCTTAGGACTTTTTGAATAATTTTCTAAGCCCATTAGCGCCTTGATAAATCGCAACCACTAATACATTAATCATATATTGTACTAGTAGAAGTGGATTTCCTCTACCGCACGTAGTTCTCCCCTCGGTGGCCCAATAAAACTCAATAATCAATTTATAAAAAAATAATTTAAGTTGAAATTTATCAAGGCACCAAGGAAAGCACAGTTCCATGTAGAGGATCTTCATCCCTCGAAACTACCTTTCTCCTATAGTTATTAATTGATGTATGAGGCAGTGGAAGGAGATACTAATGGAGCAAAGTATCTCATCCCCACTAACTCGCACATGAGACAAGGTTGCAACACTCAAATCGCAAACATTGAAAGCTCTCAACTTTTTCTTTCATTAATTCAAGGACATAATTGTCACTCTGAACCAGATATAGCATATATGAGAACCCGAAAAGTCACACAAAAATCATAGTTGAAATCTAATTGGAAAGATGTTTTTTTTTTGTCAGATAATTAGAAAGATGTTTAAAATGTTAATAGTGCACTTAAATTATCAATTTCTATCTGTTTCGCCGAGAAGTATCGCAGTCGACGAAATATCTTTCTCCAAATGTTGATCTTCATTTTTTATTAGATTCCAAATGTGACAAGGATCTAAACTATTTAAATCTAAGAAAAAGATAAGTGTGAATACTAGAAACTGATAAACTGATTGATTGAAAAAGTACATAGTTGACCCACTGGGCATGCGGCCCAAGGGTAAGAGAATTGGGTGAGGTGAAAAAGTTTAGTTTCAGATATGAGGTTCGACCCTCGCGCTATATAACAAGGAGAGCATAAGTCTAAGAGAGAAAAAAGAATTAGAACAAGACAGACAAAAAAAAAAAAGTACACAGTTGTGTTCATGATTGTGGATCCCTTTACAATGACTCGACTTGGCTTTATATAGCAAATTCATAATGTAACCGCTTTTAAGTGATTAATAGACAAATTTGAAGTTACAACCGCATACCCTTGTTTATCAGCTCCATGATCATGCTTCATAACTGCACCCTCATCTTTTTTATAAGCGGTTATACTCTGCAGTTATACATGTGCTCAACTTCAGGTTTCACGACTGCTCTCCATGATTGCATGTTAGTCTTTTCCGCAAACTATTGATGTCTCCTCATCCGTCGTCTTCCTAGCCTTCAGTCTTCTACCTCTAGCATTTAGTTAAATTCATTAAGCATCATTCATCAACCAATCGTTATTGTATGTCGATAACAACATTCAGTCATCGATATTCATAATCGTCAACAAACAACTTAGCTTCTAATATCTTGTCGATAATCCTATCGCTTGACACCCGTCTATATATTGGCGTCATGTCCATAGTTAATACAGTCAATAGATGACTGAATGTAGAAGACTGAAGTGATTAACACCAATCTCTTGTCGATAACCGAAGTGATTAACACCAAGCTCTATATCGACATCATATCGATTAAAAGGATTTGGTCACTTTTCAGTGTCAACACTATCTAATCATAATTCACAAAAAAAAGGAAATAAAATCACCTAAGAATTACATTAATTATAGGGTTAATACCGTGAAAAACCCCAAACTGGTACGCCTATGACAATTTTACCAAAAACTAATTTTTTTACCTCCAAAAATCCCAAACTGGTACACCTGTGACAAATTTACCCTAAGTTTATTTACGTTAAATTTTACTGTCAAATTGCTTTGTTAGATGACACGCGGCAATTGATTTTATATTTACCCTCCGTTTGTCACAGGCGTACCAGTTTATAATTTTTTATGGCATTAATTCAATTTAATGGAAACTAATGGAAAATACATTTGTCACAAATGTACTAGTTCGGGGTTTTTGGTGGTCACAAAACTAGTTTGGAGTAAATTTGTTATAGGTGTACCAGTTTGAGATTTTTCGTGGTCAAAAAATTAGTTTGGAATAAAATTATCATAGGTATACCAGTTCGGGATTTTTCATGATATTAACCTTTAATTATATGAAGAAATGGAAAAAAAATGATAATCTTGATTAATTACCGACTCCATGTTGTTCTCTTCCACCAGGCAAAAACTTGACTTCGGCAAGTTGTATGAGCTGCACCATTCTCCCCCGATTACTTCCTATTTTATTTCATGTAACCTAACTTTAACGTTGCTTGGTCGTTTAATAAACCCTAATTGGACTGGCCATTCAACACGTGGTACACGGTTGCGTGGTCCAAGAAACATTTTTCTTTCGTAGCACTCTTGATTTCCGGTTCCACACCAGGGACCATGGCAAATTTTAAACGTGGACTTCTGAAACTCCCCCCCTTCTTTTCTTATGGCACCAACCGCAGGTCCACAAGAGTAAATTCTTGGAAACTTCGCTGCTTTTCTTTTTAAATTTCTTTTGGCCAATTACATTAAATCGAGAATTGACCGAGACTTTTCATTTTGTCAAGAAGCACAATTCACATTGATCAAATGTTAGGTTGATGTGGTTTTAAAATTCTCCTTTTGTTTTTCATTGAAACCTAAGAGCTTAGAGACAATCTTTAGCTTATATTAAACATAAAATACTCCCAAATGTATATAAATAATGAACAATTTAGGATACATCAATACTTTTCGTAGTATGTTAAACAAAATAACTTTCCTTTTATCTTACTCGAACCTAACCCAAACATTGTGTTAGGTATCATCTAGCCAATGTAGATAAAACCAGTCCATTAAAAACCTAAGCAAGACTAGCGAGAAACTACGTTGCGTTGAAATCCATGACGATGGACGAAAATATATGGCGAAGAATAATTAGATAATGGACATGTTCGTTTGCTTCATTGAAGAAGTATAATAAGATATGGGACAAATGGATTGTATATTTACACCATGTTCGTTCCAACTCGATTTCTCAATGGCTCACCGTTATTTACTCCGACGACAATCAATACAAATTCGACAACGTGAATCGCTACTTTTCTCCCGAGTCAGAGCGTACCGCGTCGCCGGTCAGCCCCGCGACTTTTCCAAACAGAGAGTTTTGTCAGAGCTCATCGGGAGCGACGATGGCGTCAGCGTCCCACCACCGTTCCGCATCGGCTCCCAGCGAATCCTCCACCGGCGAGATGACATTCCTGAGGTCTCCGACCGTCACCTCGCCACCGGCTCTCGGCTCCCACTCGGCGACTATGGCGGGGATCCGGAACCCGACCCGGGTGTCCCAGACGTCGAGCGCGATCTTCCCCAAGTTGTTCAGCCCCGCCGACACGACGGCCACCGGCGACCTCGGTGACGCAAGGACCTGGCAGAACCTCCCGACGAACTCTCCGTTGGCGTCTTGCAGCCGCAGCAATCTGCTGTCCGACCTGTCCCACAGCTTCACGACGGTCTTGCCCAAGACGAACTGCGACAGGTTGTCGGCGAAGCTGCGACGCCGCCGCAGCTGCGAGTCCCCGGAGCCCGCGAGCCGGAAAATGAAGTTCCCCTGCGAGTGGTCGCCTGACGGGGAGGGAAGCTCGTCTTCGTCTGACTGGCCATCGTCTTCTTCCGACGAGGACGAACACGTGTCATCGTCGCTATCGTCGAAGTCGGAGGCAAGAGGTTGCTGAGCCGCGAGAGGGCTGCTTTTCGGGAATCTGAGGGCCGGTAGCTTGACGACTCGGCAGATTAGCGTGCCAAAGCAAGCGAGCGTCGCGAGGAAGATGGCGCTCCATTTGCAGACTTCAAAGGCTAGCGAAACGAATGCCTCCTGAGACCACGATCGAGACAAGATCTGGGAAAGAAAAGGTGGGTCTTGCAAAAGATTCATCAGCTGAAAAACGCGAGGCTTCGAGGAGGAGAAAGGAATGAATTCGCGTTGGGTATGCGAAGGAGAACGAAAGCGTGAAGGGGATGAAACGGGATCATGTGGGGATTTTATAAAGAAACTCAGGAACGAGAGAACGGATGGATAACAACAGAGTAATCTAATGTGGGACGGAAAGCCTTTCTTCTGGCGTGTGACGTGGAGAGACGTGGAGAGACGTGAGTGGCGGCTGAGGCATATTCTCTCCACGTCGGAAGGAAAGGTCAGGCTTTCTTGGAAAAGCTAAGGCTAAGGTCAAGGTAAGAAGATCGAGATGGAGGCAGCTGAGTCACCCATGACGATGGCTGCTCGTGTATCACGTGGTCGAAAACGTGCCAAGTTCTTGTCCTTTTGGATCTACTCACTGAGTTTCCATGACTTTGCCTGGTTTTGAGACTCTCTTAGGTTTGTGGGGGAGACATAACATCAAAGTGGTCAAGTTAACCTAACCGATATGGAAAGGTAGATGTTAAAGCACGCTTAAAATGAAAACTTTTTTACATGACCACAAAAGTCGAGTCCATAAGATATGTAGATTCACTGGCCCTTTTGAATAAGACGGTACTACAGTTTATCAATCACTGGATGTTGGAGTTGTCTTGCGGGTCTTGCGCGAGACTTATTGATCCAAAGGCTGTTGTGATATAAAGACCAATGATCCCATCCTTTGTATGTTGCATGGACATCTAGATTCAGTGACATTTGATACTTTCGTCAAAGAGTCGCGTTAAGTTCTTGTTTTTATCGCTCCGACGGCGTTCCTGTTGAAAGGGTAGTTTAGTCTTCTCCATAATTAGTGAGCCATAATGCTCACTATATATATATATATAGATGATGTAATTTGATTAAGTAAATTACGATTGTGTTTTTCATCATGGTATCAGAGCCAATAAACAAAACCCTAGTCCTTCAACTGTTACCCTAGCCACCGGAGGCCACTGTTGTCACCGGAGAAGTCACTGCCGCCGGCCTTGGAATCTACGCTGGCGGCGGCTACCACGACTCCTGCAACAACCGCACCGCCGGCGTCCGCAACGTCCACAACGTCCACGACTCCCGCGACTCCGGCGACTCTTGCGACACCATTCCGGCATTGATTCATCCGTCGATTCACCAAATTGACACCTCGTTACTGTCGCTTTGAGTTGTCCTGAGTCGCGCCAACATTGCCTAGTTCTAGTCCGGCATCACTGGGCCTTGCTGAACTCAGATCTGGCGATGTTCCACCAAGTTCTGAAGCCGCGAGTTTGAGTTTGAGTTTGAATTTGAAGCAACGACGAAATCCAGAGTCCACGAGTGTTGCTGGTTCTACGAGCGTCGCTGGTTCCACAGAGCCGTCAACGATGACCTCCAAAGTCCACGAGTTTTGCTGATTCTACGAGGGTTGCTGGTTCATGAGTGTTGCTGGTTCCACAGAGCTGCCAACGATGTCCTTCAGAGTCAAAAGGTGAGTGAGAGGAAAGTGAAGTCACAAGGTGGGCCTTGCTCGTACTCAAGTGTAAACGAGCATTATAGGTTCAGCAGCCAGAAGAAATATTTGAGAATGGGATTATTAATTTTTGGTGAATCACACTGTTATTTGCCCGACGCATATCACATAGGCGTTCTTTTCTTGCAAAACTAAAGTCCCTGCCTCGTGTTGAAGTTTACTTGCGATGATTGATTATTGGGTTTGTTAATGCCCTATGTTGATTTGTGCTTCTATTCTGATGAGTTATTATGTTTGGTGGTAATTATTACAATTGGTGCACAAGGTGCAAATTTCGGTTAAGTTTATTTTGATATTATTATTGAGTTATGGCTGGCAATTCTGGAAACACGGATACCAGTCTTACTAATCTGAAGTTGACCTCTGTTAAGCTCGATGGGACCAATTACCCTTCTTGGTCTATGGCAGTCAAAACATATCTTTTAGCCACCAAACAGCTGAGTTATCTGGCTTCATCTCCACCTACGGATAAAACAAAGGAGGATGATTGGCGTTCTGGCGATGCTGCTATTCGAACATTGTTGTGGAATACCATGGATTCCAAGATTAGTCCTCAGTTTATGCAGTGTACATCAGCCAAAGCTATTTGGGACAAATGTGCTCTTATGTTTTCGGGTCGTGATAATATGACCCGTGTTTGTGATGTGTGGGAGGAGCTATTTGACCTACGTATTGGAGACATGTCTGCATCTGATTACTATTCTAGATTCACCACCCTTTGTGAGAAATTGGATACTTATTTGCCTACCACTGATGACATTAGAGAGTTGGCTAAGCGCCAACAGGATATGAGAGTTGTGTTATTTCTCCGGGGGCTTGGTCCTACTCATTCTTCTCTCCGACAACAGATTATCTCCCAGGGTACTCTTCCATCAGTAGATGAGGTCTTTTCTCGGGTCCTTCGATGTGTGCCTGACTCATTATCATCTGCACCTGTAGCAAGTGCTATGGTCTCTCAGTCTTCTGGTGGCCGTGGAGGCCGAGGACGTGTTCCTCGGGGTCGTGGCAGGTCTGTCTTTTCTCTTGGTCGTGGCCGAGATGGTGGTAGGGGTGCCGGAAGTTCTCGTTATTGCAACCATTGTCAGCGAGCTGGCCATACTGAGTCTTATTGCTATACCCTACATCCTGAGCTTCGTCCACGGGCTGCTTATGCCGAAGCAGTAGAATCTCCAGTACAGAAGGTTCCTGATAAGTCATAGGAGTTACCTAGTACCATTATGCTGACTCGCGCCGAGTATGAGTCCTTAGTGCGTCACAACCAGGTGGTGGATTCCTCTGCTCCTACTGCTACTTTGGCACAGACTTCTTCAGGTAGTCCGTCCTGTTTACTCTCTTCTACGCCCACTTCCTGGGTCGTAGACTCTGGTGCTACAAATCATATGACCGGTAATTCTAAGCTGTTGTCTGATATTACTTTTATGTCACCTAGTTCCGTTACACTTGCTGATGGTTCACAGTCCCATATCACTGGTCAAGGGAATGCAACCTTGGGTCCCTCTCTTACTCTTTCATCTGTTGCCTCCTTTTTCATATGAACCTCCCCAAAATGTACTGGGGGCATGCTGTTCTTACAGCATGCTATCTCATAAATCGCCTTCCATCCTCAGTGCTTCATGGGGGCATACCTTTCTCCACTATCCATCCCACAAGTCCACTTTTTACTTTACCACTTCGTGTGTTTGGGTGTGTCTGTTTTATGCATCGTCTTGCTCCTGGTCGTGATAAACTCGATCCACGGGCCCACAAATGTGTGTTTCTTGGGTATTCTCGAACTCAGAAAGGGTATAAGTGTTATAGTCCAGTTAGTAGGCGGTTGTATGTCTCAGCAGATGTAACCTTTTTCGAGGATCAGTCATATTACTCCTCTACAGCGGGTCCTTCTGAAGATGTTCCATCTTCGACTATGGCTCCACTACCGCCTATTCCCTTAGCGAGTATGCCTGAGTCATCAACGTCATCGCCTAGTTTTCAGTTCGCCGACAAGACCTATCAACGGCGCCGGTCTGTTCAACGTGAGGTAGTACAGTCACCGCCTGCATTGGATATGCATGATTCTCCACCAGTCAATGTCCCATCTTCTGATCCACCAGTTGCTTCTAAGCCTGATTCTACTACTGACATTCCCATTGCATTGCGCAAAGGTACACGTTCTTGTGTTGGTCAACCCAATCCTCGGTTTACTCCCTATAGTGGTTTGTCTTGTCATACACATACTCGTTACCCTCTTTCTCAATTTTTATCATACGATTGTCTTTCTCCTACATATTCCTCGTTTGTTGCTTCTTTATCTGCTGTGTCTGTGCCAAGTACTGTTGCAGAGGCTCTTGCTCATCCAGGTTGGCGACAAGCTATGGAGGATGAAATGCAGGCACTACAGGATAATGGGACATGGCAACTTACATCGTTACCTGCTGGGAAACAGGCTGTGGGTTGCCGTTGGGTTTTCACAGTGAAGTTTCAACCAGATGGCACTGTTGAGCGTCTGAAGGCACGTCTAGTTGCCAAAGGTTACACCCAGATATATGGAGTTGATTATGATGATACATTCTCTCCTGTAGCAAAGATACCTTTTGTTCGTGTTTTCATCTCTCTTGCTGTCCATTATGGTTGGACTCTTCACCAACTTGATGTCAAGAATGCCTTTCTTCATGGGGACTTGGTAGAGGAGGTATATATGGAGCAACCCCCGGGGTTCGTTGCTCAGGGGGAGTCTACCAGTGTTTGTCGTCTACGCAAGGCATTATATGGATTGAAACAGTTTTTACAGGCAAAATTTAACACAAAAGATATGGGTTGTTTGCGGTATTTCTTGGGCATTGAGGTGGCCTACTCACGTGATGGTATCTCATTATCACAGCGGAAATATGTATTGGATATTCTTAGTGAGGTTGGTTTTCTTGGAGCGAAGCCTGTTAATACTCCGATGGATCCTAATGTGAAGCTTGATGCAGAACAAGGTGAATTACTTCATGATCCAAGTAAGTATCGGAGATTGGTGGGTAAGCTCAATTATTTAACTGTTACCCGACCAGATATCTCTTTTGCGGTTAGTGCTGTTAGTCAATTTATGAGTACTCCTCGTACTACACATTGGGATGCAGTGCTACGTATAGTTAAATACTTGAAGGGAGCACCAGGTAAAGGGATATTGTTCAAGAATCATGGACATCTTGATGTTATTGGCTACTCTGATGCTGATTGGGCTGGTTGTCCTTTTGATAGGCGATCAACTTCTGGTTATTGTGTATTCTTGGGAGGCAATCTTGTGAGTTGGAAAAGTAAGAACAACAGGTGGTGTCTCGATCGAGTGCTGAGGCGGAATATCAGGCCATGGCTCATGTGACTAGTGAGTTGATTTGGTTGAAGATGTTATTATCCGAACTTAGTATGTCTTCTTCAGCTCCCTCAGTTCTGTGTTGTGATAACCAGTCTGCTATGCATATCGCTTCAAATCCAGTTTTTCACGAGCGCACGAAGCACATTGAAGTAGATTGCCATTTTGTGCGAGAAAAGATTCAAAACAAGGAAATAACACTTCAATACACACAGACTGAAGACCAACTTGCTGATCTTTTCACTAAGTCATTGCAAGGTAGTAGAGTGATTACTTTGTGTAACAAGTTGGGGCTCTTTGATGTTTATGCCCCAACTTGAGGGGGAGTGTTGAAAGGGTAGTTTAGTCTTCTCCATAATTAGTGAGCCATAATGCTCACTATATATATATAGATGATGTAATTTGATTAAGTTAATGACGATTGTGTTTTTCATCAGTTCCCAAGTAATTTTTCGAATCGGGCAATTTGCTATCAACTTTGTTCTAAGAATCCACCACCTTCTCTCACTTGCTTGCGTTCTAAGTGTTCTAAGAGTCCGATTTGCTATCGACTTTGTTCAATGCGCTCGAGTCGGAGTAATTGACTCATTGAAATGGCCATGGATCCTAAGCATACAGAGAGTCCAGATCTTCTAGAATACACGACATTTGTTAAGAACTTTTGCCAATTGCCATATGCAAAATAGAAGAAAGTACAGCAGCGGTCGCCGGTTATCTCGGCCAGCAGCCAAAGATAGGCGAAGGAAGGGTGTCGTGTTCTTGGCCCCGCCTGAAGAGCGATCAGCGCTGCATATCGGTATCTGGATAAACTTGCGGAAGAACTTCCATTGAGGTTTGAAACATTGGTCTGTCGTACATTGAACTCTGAGCAAAGAAAGAAAAAGGTACAAACTGTGACCGGCAATTCTTCTATCCCTAAGTGGCGGTCTTCTATTTCCCATCACTCACTATCCTGCCAAAAGAAGTCATTATACCAAAACTCATGCATTATTAACATGTTACTTACATCAATTACCAGAATATGAGCAGCAGTTCACAGGACAAGATAAACTCCTTTGTCGAGAGAATGAATTTATATTAGCAAATGTTTAGTACATGAAGGCAAGCATATACTGACGAAATACTGATAAATTAAAGGCTTGTATCAAATATGTAGTATCTGATTAGCTCAAAGTGTAACCTCCTGCTTTCAGTACCGACATCTTTGGCCTAATTCACGATTGTTAAGCAGAGCAAACCTCAAAGGTCACAGAATTGGTTTGAGTTGAAAGTCCTATGCTTTGCTCGTTTATAGCGAGTACAACCAAATGACCCCAATGCTTCCTTTTACTTGCAGATTTTCTGCGACTCTCTATCCATTCTTTCCTTAATATGTGCTCATAATTCACATTCAAAATCAACTGAACTATCGTTTCCATTCAACATGAACAACCAGAAAATGATCCAGAGGGCATGGTAGAGTGACGGAAATCTGTGGCATGTGTGACAGTCCTCTGGAACATAAATCAGGCAATATAAAGTCACTTTGAATTATATCTAGGAACTGGCAAAGGCCCCAAGGTGGGGGCGAGATTCAATTTGAGAGCATCCCTTATATTCGTGACAGCATGCCATCAATAGAAACTTTTGTCACATGATATAAGTCGAAGCTGTAGGCTTTTACCTCTATTACGGTTTCCTCACCACAAGCACTGGGCATTTGGCATATTGAACACAGTAGTTGCTCACACTCCCGATTAGAGCCCTGTTATGGCACTATGGTCAGTACCACGTTCATTTTCTGAACCGTAAGCATAAAGAGCCACAAATGACAGAGCAAATGTTGCAGACTTGCAGAAGAAGTTAGAGTTCATTAAATTTAGTTCTTGAAGTGACAAGGAGCAGAAAATACAAATTCAGGATATTCAGAAAGCCAAGGAAAATAAAGTGCACACTCAATTAGTTAATGTAAATTGCAATCGAAGTTATTGAGAATTTGTAGCGCAACTCTAGAAAATCTCAGCAGCTTCTTTACAAATGGAAATTGTGCAATGCTAAGTACCAGAGGAAAAGTAACATAGCGTCTCATTCCGAGTAGTGCTTATGGATATGCATGTAATGATATATTCATGCTGAACAGTTTTTTTAGCATCTACTTAGCACATACATCACATCAATTCACGGCTAAAGTCAGCGTCCAGAAGTTCTTTTCCTCGTTTTAGTCCTTCTTTGTGTTCATTGCAGGAGTATGTACAATGATAAGCATACAATGGGACACCTCAAAATTGTTGTCTCTGCACAAACTAATTGACAGCATTTATGGGGTTATCATCGAACTGTCTCATTGAGGAACAGAGGGAAGGAATCGGAAAGCGCACCTTTTTATCTTTCCAATTCCACGCTCACCCATAACGAGAAGACTAACGTTGTACTTTAGAACGGCATCGCATATGGCCACTTTAGGATCCCCGACATCTGCAATTGTTTCAGCCCTTACCTGCATGTAGAGAGACTATCGGCATAAGACAAAGTGCTCCTACAGATGTGGGATTTCGAAGCTATGAAATTCTCTACGATAAGAAAAATCAAATCTAGCTGGGTTGTAGAGAATAAAACCAACGCTTCACTATTATCTTGAGGGTCAAAAGAAACTTTTCTTATTTTCAGAGCAAAGTCCCTTTCCCTTTTGTCGACTGACAAAAATGAAGGAATTATGCATACTTCTATTAGATACACTTATCAGTGCTCAAAGGACATCCCCTATTTAGCCTGGACAATGACTCATAGTTAAAAGATGGGTCAATCGGCCATATAAGAAAGAAACATGACAAGACATAAATGTTCAGAGTATTTAAAATGATCATAGGAGGCAATAGCATAGCCCAAAGAAGTAAAGTGACCGGCAAGAATCTGTACGATAATTAGTAGCAGGAAACTATGGTGGAATTTAATCCTTTGAACGCGCGCATCGTTACACGCTTCACGGTCGCTGCTTCAACAGTACAGTAGCGCAGACTTCAGATATTAAGTTGATTAACATGATCCGCTTTTTAATCACTCAATCATGTCCTATCGCACTGGAAAGCTATGATCTCTTGTTATTGAAGAAACAGAGGAAGTGTGGAAATAGGATTACCCCTCGGTTAGCACAAATTTCCTTAGCTTTATCCAAGTAGGCCGAAGTGAGCTTTTTATTGTTTGCTTCCACAGACTTGACAAAGTCCGGAGCTGCAATACAGCAAACGCAAGTCAGCTAGCGAGAAGAATTTCTATGAACTCCTGGAGTTATCAAATAACAACAATCATCACGATCGAGATCGAGAGAGAGAGAGAGAGAGAGAGAGAGAGAGAGAGAGAGAGAGAGAGAGAGAGGGGCTTAACTGGGTGAAACAGAGCAATACACGCGAGCAGAGCTGAGGGAGGCTTGGAAAGTGCTGACGGGTCGAGGAGGAGGGTGAGCCATGAAGATGAGGAGCGTGGAGCGCTCGACGGACTCCTTGAGGTTGTCGAGCACCCACATGAGCGCGTAGTGGCTGTAGTCGCTCTCGTCGATCGCCAACATCACGTTCCGGTCGACGCCGTTGGCCAGCAACACGTCCGCCATCTTTCGCGAGCAAGAGTGTCCGAGTCTTCTTCAGGGTTTAAGCACGGAACAAGACACTGGTGGGAGATGAACGGGAGATCCTGCAGAATTCGGAAGGGTAAAGATGTTTATATACACACATGAATGTATGCACATGTCTGTACAAGTGACGGTGAGGGTGGGGATGTGGTGGGGTTTTTTTTAGGAGAAATGCGCTCTTTCTGAAAAGGTAGTTGGGAAATCAGATGGCGGGAAGTACAGGTAAGAACCACCGGTCAACTGTATGAATTTCTGAGCTCGACCTACTCGACAATGGGAAGACGACGCCTTCGCCAACTGTTTTTTCTTGGGGAGTTTTGAGGGCCAAGTCCCAGAAAACTGAGCACAGCAGTTGTAACACAAACCACCTTAAAGTTTCAAAAACAGAGGAACAACTTTTTATGCTTTGCGAAATTTTTTAACACGGTCTTCCTAATGTCGGGAGAAAAGCATAACCTTTGACACTCACTACCACGATATTTCACATGTCTTAAATAAAGAGCATAATATTTCCCCTGCCTCTAGCGTCAGCTAAGTTTTTTCCTGAAAAATGAATTATCGTTAAAAATCTTACATGGCGGCTAGTCAGCATAACAACCGTGACATGGTTGCCACGTCATTGAACATTTTTAGGGATAAATGGCCAAAAAGTCATAAATCTATTATACAACGGCCAATTTAATTTTAAATTTTTCAATTGTGTCAATTTACTCCCTAAACTTTTTAATTATGACAATTTATCTCTATCTCTCGATTGTGATAACTATTCTTATTTGAGAACTCCATGAGTTCGTAGATATTCTTCTCGCTAGCTGACTTGTGTTTGCTGTATTGCAGCTCCGGACTTTGTCAAGTCTATCGAAGCAAACAATAAGAAGCTCACTTCGGCCCTACTTGGATAAAGCTAATGAAATTTGTGCTAACCAAGGGGTATTCCTATTTTCACACTTCCTCTTTATAAAGAGTTAGGATTAAATAAACACGATTGAAAGGTTTAAGACTAAATTGGCAAGCCGTAAAAAAGGTTTATGACCAAATTGGCCGTCGTACAATAGGTCTAAGACTTTTGAACCAATTTTCTCCATATTTTTATTTATTCTCTTCTCAATTTTAAATTTAAGTAAAATAACGATGAGAAATCTCTCTCGATTTAAGTTTAAATCTATTCTCTCTTTTTTTCGCCAATCTAAAATACTTATTAAACATATTCAAAAAAATAATCTTCAAGATAATGATTGCCTAAATTGCAGAAAAAGGCACTGAGTTGAACTTATAGATTGCCTAAATTGCAGAAAAAGGCACTGAGTTGAACTTATAGAAAAAGAAAATCAAGGGACTATGAACTATGGATTTTTTTGTTCATGTTAATCCTTCCGTCAAAGGATATGGATGGAAATGAGCATGCTCCTCCAACTCATTCCTGATGTAGACCCAAAAAAATATACATAAATTTAAAAGTGAATGTAAGTAGATCCTATTGAGCCTATGCTTTTCAAGAAACAAGATAAACTTGGCAATGCCCATGATAGGGCTGAGCAAGGGCCGGGCCGGGCGGGCTTCGGGCCCATTTGTTCGGCCCCGGCCACTTCTGCTTTTGCATGGAAGATTGCCAACCCACGCATTCATGGGACTATTCTCATACGTGATGAGTTGACTACGATTCCGTAAGTTTCTACATTACTTGTGATCTGAAAGATAAACATGAGGCTCTTCAGGCTGGTCTCTTCACAACAAGAACGGGGCACTTGGCATTGTGGACGCAGTAATCGCTCACGCTCCCCAGAAATGCTCTGTTGTGACAAGCAAAGCTTTTGTTAGAAGAAAGAGAGACTTGTAATTCTTCTCGATGTGCTAGAAATTGAAGAACACGAGGAGATAATTGGAGGGACAATCCCAACAGACGCATGATCCTCGAACAGCGCACGAGACGAGTTCGAGGAGCTCAGCAACGATGAAACTCATAATCCTATGGTCGCGAGCATTGAATCTGTCCCGACAAAACACCTCCAGCAAGCTCCGAAGACGATTAGGAGCGAACTTTGATAAAATTACAGCCAAAAGGATCCAAAAACACTGATAGAGAAGGTATGGTCAAATCCCGTTCAAAAAACAGAGGAGTTCGAAAATTGGATAATCCCAATTCAAAGCAGCCTATCAGTGGAAACGTTCGACCGTGCAATCAAACTGCTATGCAGATTGAGGCATGACTCATACGACTAAGGGGCAAACGAGAATAGGCATACTCGCTAGGAATAGATGCGCAGCCTTATAACTATCCATTTGACAATCATACGAGACTTTCAAGAAGGTGATACTAACCTTTGAATGGCTCCCCGACCATGACTTCCCAAAATAAGTAGCTGAATATCGAGCTTCTCTGCTGCCTCGCAGATCGCTTCTTTGGGTTCCCCAACTTCTGTGGCCATCTCAGCAATAATCTATGTCAAGGACGAAACCTTAAACTGGACGTAGTTTCATGGGTGTAGGCGATAGTGCTAGACTAAGACATTCAATCAATTGTCCTCAGGCACTGTCACTGCGCTATGCGAGCCATACAATAGACACCATTTTCAGTTTCATGCACATTGGATTATCTCGCCACTGCAAGAGGAATTGGAATTTTGTCATGACCTCACTCATTGAGTTAAAAGTTCCACCTCCCGAACCACAGCAGGTTAACAAAAAACTATCAATAGGACAGAGAATGACCCGATTTTGGTCTAGCTTATCATTAGACATCAACGAAACAGATAGAGAGTGGTCGCTCCAGAGGGTTTGGCACAAGATGCAGTGTGGACACTAAATTCGACAAATTGTAATGCCTGAGACTGCAGGGATTTGAGCCCGAAGTGACATTTGCATCAGATCTCTTTGGCTTTTGGAGCACAGTATCACAGTCATCTTGTTAAGCATCATTGCAGAGTCATCTAATCCTCTATTTAATTCATTGTCAAGAGACTCAAGACCTTCCTAATCCATTCGCGTGATTGGTAAGAACAATCAACCCCAAATCTGTGATGAGTGATGAAAGAGCATCAATGTGTTGGAGGCCAGTTCGATTGCTGATACTCGCCATAAGTATTCTCATTGACTACTTAAACGACATACTATTACCATCTACTAGATGTACAGAAAAATAAATACATTCCTCCATACTGCTAACCTATTACTCTGGATTAGCTGCATCTAGCTGTTGGAAGAGGGGTTATTTTTTACTTCATGTCCTAACATATGCTAACACTAGTCTGCTCTGGCTCAAAAGCATTAGAGATGCCAAAAGATGTAATGAGATGAGAGAATTCAAATTAGCTGAAGGAAGTGTCCATACCCCATGCTTGGCACAGATCTCTTTCGCATTCGCTAGCAGAGACAAAGTGGCCTTCCTCTGATTTTCTTGAAGATCGTTGATCAAATCCACAGCTGTCAAGGCATATTTATGGTGCCCGCAGAAGCACCATCCGTAAGTTGCATGAACTAGAAAAACAAAAAAACAGAAGGCAAACTTCGATTGTCTAGGAACGTTCAGACTTGCGAAGCTGCAAGCAAATACGCAACTGAACTCGAGCAGGGGTTGAGCAGAGAAGAGGAGGATTAGTCCGAACATCATTCGTCCGATTAGTCCTAATCTTATCGTACAATGCTAATTTGTTTCTAAACTTTTCAATGTTATGAATTTAGTTCAAAATATTCCGGCAAAATTATAATGTAATCCTTCCCCGGCCAATTTTCGCTGAAAATCCAGTATACCACATAAGACGGCTAGCGATGATTGAGCCACAATGTCAGCGATTTCTGGCGAAAATGAACGGAATGTCTACATTGGAATTTGCTCTAAGGTTTAGGATTAAATTAATAAAATTAAAAATTTCAGAACTGATTTGATATCCATGAAATGGGTAAATTTCCCGCATAATTTGGTTCAAGTAATCCTACGCTAAAGCGGAATAGCTCGGCCCGACCCTTGTAAGGATTTTCAAACCCTACTTATGACGGAAATTTCGAGTTTGATTAAATCCACCGTCAGTGGCCAAAGATGGTGGCGCCTCACCCTCCAACTTCCGGCAACTTCGTGACTAAACTCGAGTTTACATGAGGTGAATCCATTAGCCGTTGATCATGTAAGCACCTAATCTTTACTATAATGCGTTGAGTCTAGGTGCACGGATCAAGGCAACAGTTTCTCCCAACTTCTAGTATGAAGACATTGCCACCCTAACCGTGGGAGGCGAACCAGAGAGAAGTCATTGCAACACGGTGGCATTCTTGAATCAAATGAGAAGTTTCAAGGGTCATTCTAAATATTTCCCTTAGTCTTTTTTTTTTTGTCTGTAATATTTCCCTTAGTTAAAAAGCCCTTATAAACTGCAAAATTTACGATGTCCTATCCAAAATTATTAAATCAAGAATGGCAGGACAATGTAAGAACCCTTCTTTTCGAAAAAAAAAAAAAGAGAGTAAGAATTTATTAAGCCACGTTAAAATTCACGAACAAATTTGAATTGCGGGTAGGAATATAATGACCACCGGTGTCATTTTACTAGGGATGAGTATCGGTTCAGAGTAGACCGTGGAATCGAATTAGAGAACCGAACCAAGAAACCCTAATTCTCTCCTTTTGATTTTACCTTACATCTTATATTCTCGTTGTAATATACTTCTCGCTATTTTGTTGATATACTATTTTGTTGTAACTGCTATTTGTCTTGGTTGTGAATAATGAGATGTATTACTAAAGCTTGTCCTTTTAAGGAATAAGAAAAACGAAACAGAAAAAAAAAACAGAGAAATTGATCGGTTTTTAAGTAGACCTTAGAACGGAGACCGGATTCACATGATCGGTTCCCAAAAACTGAAAACCGGTCCCGACAAGATGATACCGGGTTATAAATCTGGAATCCATTCACTCCGAAAACGACTCACCCTCACATTTTGCTAGTGAAAATACATGAAAGTTTTAAGGTACCAGAAAAGGGCGGGCCACGGACACAGTTTCATTCCCGTTACGGTTTTGTACATATTGACAGAGGAAAAGGACATGTTGTCGGGAAATGATATGTCGCGCCATTTATGAGTTATTTTAGGTACAAACGAAATATTTTTACCACAAATCAGAATCATTTGCATCGCGCGTGATGAAAAAACTTTTACCGAGTCTTTTAGCCCTGCCGACCTATGCCAAATGGGCAATCCGCTTAGCAGGTTAAAAGGACCAAAAAAAAGGTCCATATCGTGCGCAACCTGAGCCCTTCGCTATCAAGCCGAGTTTTGCCTCCTGACCAAACATTTCAAATTTACCGCGAATAAGCTCGTTTTACTCTCGATGCCGATGCCAGCGTATTGGAAAATACAGAATGCTTACTACCAACGATTGCGCAATACCACGCGAGAGACCCTATTTTCACGGTAAAAAGTACAAAAAGTTTTACGAGGAATATGGTAAAATAAGTGGGGGGTTGATCTAGACTTGTATAATTTTCTTTAGATCTTTGAGTTAATATCACAAAAAACCTCAGATTTGTATATTTATAACAAATTTATCCCAAATTAATTTTTTGACCACCAAAAACCCCAAACTGGTATACCTATGACAATTTTACCCTTCGTTAGTTTCCGTTTAATTTTGTGATCGAATTTCTGAGTTGGATGGCACATGATAATTGATGTGTATACCAGTTTGCGTTTTAGTCTCTATTTATTACATGTGTACATGTTTGTGATTTTTTGTTATATTAATTCAATTTAACGGAGAGTAAATTTTATCACAAATGTATCAATTTGAGGTTTTTAGTAGTGAAAAAAAAATCAGTTTTAAGGTAAATTTATCATAGGTGTATTAATTTGATTTTTTTAACGATCAAAAGATTAATTTTTGGTAAATTTATTACGGACGTATCAATTTGAGATTTTTCATATTATTACCCCTAAATCATTTATGGAGGGAGATGAGATGCCAAAATTGCAGGTGCAACAAGAATTGATCTTACAACGTACGACGACGACGACGAGGGAATGAAGAAGATGGGGGAGACATCAAAGGACGGCATCGAACTGGACTTTACCTCGTCCTTTTCCTCGTCTCACCGGTCCCGTGAGATGCCCTCCCTCATTAAAAGCCCGACTCGACCTCTTCTGCCGTCTGGTCCACATTTTGCCCACCCTTTGTTTTTTTTTTTTCTTTAATCCTTTCCTCTCTCTCTTTTTTTTTTTCGGTAAATTCATGAAATCATTCAAAAAATACTAAAATATCGACATATAGAAGTCGTACCCCCATTTATTTTTTCATTGTACTGCGAAGCTTAAAAGTGCATTTTCGAAATTTCATAAAGAGAATCATCCGTAAAAAGTCAAGAGTAGCTAAAAAATCCCTCGCAAGGCGACCTAGGTAAGATGGGACTCAAAATTCGGATGAACACGTCCGGCTGTTAAATAAAGATTGTGTATCTAAACTTGTATGCAGGTTCTATTATTTGGAGAACCAAGATGAACTCTCCGTTTGTGATTTTTCTAAACAACACGCGAATGTGTGTTTCTCACCCTTGTATTGTCTTATCTTATAGAGATTATCTTTAGTTACGTTTACATTCGTCAATCTTATGTCTCACAAGTTCAGGTTACTCGAACTGTGGTCATCTTACTTTCTATCTCTTAAAGCATTAGAAGACGGTGAAAGCAATATTTAATCGAGAAAAATGTATGCATATTTGAATTTTTCATATTAACACTAGTGACAATTTCACAAATGATTATGAACTTTAATCTAACGTGCAGTGTCGTCTCTAAACTTTTAATTTGTTCAATATGATTCCTGAACTTTAGCTCAATTTGCAATATTGTCCCTAAGCTTTTAATTTGTTCAAGTGGTCCCTGAACTTTTGGTAAATGTTCAATCTAATGTAATTCTTCCATTAATTCAAGTTAATTAAATATTAATATTTGACTTTCAATCTGATAAGTTTGAACGGTGGAGAAAAAAAATAATGTTACACATTTATATTGAAGAAATTAAAAGTTCGACAATGACATTGTATTATTAACCAAAATTTATATATCATTTGTGTCATTTTCTTTTTTACTAGAAGAAACCAGACTACTTCCACACTTCTCTTATGTCGTGCCATATTGTTGTTACCCAATCGAACATGACACAAAAAGGTCATCTCTCTCTCCCTATTGTTTTGAAACATATTGACCCTTTCAATCATGGGTTTAACATAACCTTAGACTTAGCAATTACAATTGCCAAATGTCATGTGACGAACCAAAACACATTAAAGAAAACCACGAGGCACCAAAATATCTAATGCTAGATCCAATCCACTCTCCTAATCAAGTCGTACCTTCCCCTAAAACTTGTTAATCATGGCTTTCGCTTAGGGACAGCTAACATGGTTTTTGGAATAATTTAGTGTGATGTGACCTCATTGACATCCTCCACCGTCCGCCACCACCTCTTCCTCCTCCTCCGAGCATCGCTGGTGGCTGTCCACCGGAGAAGAAGAAAGAACAAACTAGAAAAAGAAAAAAAGAAAGAAAGAAAATAGAAAAAATAAATTAATTAATTAAATTTAAAATTGGACGAAAATGCCCTTGACTAATCAGAATAATTAGCCAGCCGATGACTGGCAATGTTAGACCCTTATTTGAAACGGTCATGGCCACTTCAAGCTCTTATTTTAGACTAACATAGTCACCTCAAGTATTTACCTTACATAAGATCCACTTCATACTCTTATTTAAATTTTGCTTTTTTCAACTAAGGTAAGTAAGTCAAGTAGATGCTAGCGTTCAGCAAGTTTCTTGAGTGGGGAAGGCATAAATTCCCCCTCATGCCACCCAGCCTCACCTCCATTATCATTCCTGGAAAAGTTAGAATGTTCCAACTAAAATAAGTGGAATGAACGATTTTTGAAATTCTCTTTAATGTAGCATAAGACGAGCCAAATGCAATTATCATAAGAATGAGGTTAACAAGTGCCCTAAAACACTCATTAAACATACTTAATTAAGTGTTCCGGAGCACTTATTCACCATACTTAATAGAGAAATGTTTTGGTTTCCAATATAATAATTACACACGAGACCAAAAAAAAAAGACAGTGCTTTGGAAACTGCACACTTTGTCATATCGACTATTGAACAAATTTCACATGCACTCTACGAAAGAATTCCTTAATCAATACCGCAATTTTCCAAAACAGTGATTATACATAATAAAAGAACAGACAGCACATTGAAAACCGCAACATTTTCATTAATCATTTACTTAACTAGTGATAAATTTGTTAAACAACATCAGAAGTATGGGAAAAAATGACAAAAAAAAGGGGGAAAATTAAGAGAAAAATAGAGGGAGAGAAAGAAAAGAAGATAAATGGTAAACATTGGAAACCCACATAGGGGGGTAGATCCTTTAATAGCCTTTCGGTGCTTAAATTCAACGGCTTCCTTTACCCTTTTCACTCATCACGGGCCAAAACTCTATCATTTTGCTGCGTTGGTGTTTGCCTCCTTTCCCTCCCTGCCTCCCTCCCTTCATTCATCCATCCATTGATTCATCTCATCTCCACCTCCCCTTCAATTTCTACATCAAACCCATCATCCAGATTCCCTCCTCTTGCTTTGCACGCACCGCTTGGGACAGAATCCTAAAAGCTTCGAAGGCTGCAATTGCTGACTTCTCTCCCTCTCTCTCTCTCTCTCTCTCTAGCTGGTCCTTTTTGACTCCAAATCCCACCTCCTTTTTCAAACCCTCTTCGCGCTTCTCCAGGGTACGTGCCGGGAGATGCGGCGGGCTCTGTCCGTCTTGTGAGAGGGGAAGGTGCTCGCGACCACTACCCTCTTGCTCTGTTTTCGCTCTGTTTTTCCTCTGCGCGCCGCCCGCGCGGGGCCGGCAATGGCGATCGACGTCTGCTCGGAGATATCGAGCCCCGGCCTGCTCAGCCCTCGAATCTCCTTCTCCCACGATCTCAGGGAATGCGACGACGCCGTGCCCGTCGAAGATGACGGCAGCCACCGGGAGAGGCTCGACCGGTCGCTGCTGGACTCCGACTTCGACTTCTGCGTCGGCGGGTCGAGTTTCGTCCTCGAGCTCTCCTCAGCGGACGAGCTCTTCTCCGACGGCAAGATCCTCCCCGGCGAGATCAGGAGGGACAGAGTGGTGACTGCCGATCACAATAATTGTCGTCGGATACCATCGTCTCATCCTCCTCCTCCTCCATCTGGGACTCCTCCGATTTCTAGTGCTGCGTTCACGGAGAAGAAGAGTTTAAAGGAGCTCCTGTCGTACAGCTTCGACGACGACGACGATGACGACGAAGTGGATGAGAAGCCGCCACCGAAGCCGTTCTGGCAGTTCAAGCGCAGCAGCAGCCTCAATTGCGACGTTGCCAAGAGCAGAGGGCTAATCGGGTCGCTGCAGTTCCTCTCGCGGAGCAACTCGACCGGTTCAGTTCTGAATCCAAAGGACAAATCCGCGGCCAAGGACAACCAGAGGCAGAATTTGCAGAAACAGTCCTCCATTTCAAGTCGAAGATCGTCATCGGATTCATATCAATCCCCCTTCAGCATGCCATTTTCGTACAGTTCGTCGCAATCGCAGAAGCCTCCGATGAAGAAACGATACGGACACGGCGTGAGGGTCAATCCCGTATTGAATTTTCAGCCTCATATCACGATCGGGACGGTGAGCTTGTTCGGGCTCGGCTCGTTGTTCTGTAATGGCAAGGTCAGAAAGAAGAAGAAATGAACGATCTCGATTAATCTGTTTATTAATTCGCACGAACACAGAGAAAAGAAGAAACGAGCTTTTTTAATTGCCTCTTGTTTTTGTTTGTGCACATGTTTAGATGGATCTCATGGTGGTAGATCTGGGGCTCGATGAATTAGCATGTGATAAGGTTCTTGAAAAATTCCAGGGAATATAATGTACGGGTCTCTGTGGTGGATGCATGTTCAAAGATCAGGTTTTGGTTCCTTCTTCTTCTCCTTCTTCTTCTTCTGTGAATGATTTGAGAGAGAATATTACAGAGGAAAACAGGGAGGAACTGGTTCGCGATGCGTTTGCACATCAACATCAACCTGTCCTGGACACGGGAGGCACTTGAACAAGGGGGCTTTGCTCTTTCCCGACACTCTCCATCTCATCCTCTATCCCTTTGCCTTTTTCTTTTGCTGTTTACTGCTTTTTTGGTCAATAATTAATGTGGGTTGTCTTTTGTTCTTTTCTGCTTTTCCATTGGAGCTCGCTCACCAGTGAGCTCTTTTCTTTACCTGTGGAGACTAAGCAGGATGGTGATGTGGTCATGGTGTGTGGGGGCCTCTGATTTTGGACACCTTCTTTTCATTTTTCTTTCTTTTTCTTTGGCTTCTTTTTGTCTAGGATTGGAGAGAATATTTTACAGAGTGGTTTGGGAAAATTGATCAAGTTGACACTTTTTAACAATGAGTGAATAAGAAATTAGCGGATGGATTCATTTTTGGGTTAGCTTAGCTCGCAGAAAGAATCCTTGGAATGGAGATTATGAGTTCGATGGACATTAATATGTAGTCAGGTGGTCGTCAATAAAGAAATTAGGATTTCGTTAGTGTCGCTTATGCTTTATAAATAGAGTATTTCATGTGCTCTTTCGTTAAGCTATTGAGCGGAGACGTAACTTTTGAATGTTTTCTCTCTCCCTCTTTCATGGAGATTCTCGAATAATTACATGGTACTGGAGCCTCCAAAAGAGAGGGGCCCGAATCAAAACTCTAGTTTCCATCTCTCTCTATTTTTTGCCGTCGGTCTTAATTTTTTTTTTGTCATAAAAAAAATAGGACCCTTGTTCCTAACATCATCATTGACATTGAGACCATCACCATTTTGTCGTTCCAAGTCCTTTGTATTTCGTCCACCGGCATTCATCCTCAAGAAAGGCCACAACCGGTCGTCCTCAACAGCAGCAGCAGCATCGTCCTCCCCTTGTCGCGGGTCTCCAATATGCTCCGGTTGTTTCTAAGAGCAGCGCTGTCTCGTGAGCTGCTGGTCTCTTCGCCATCATTAGTCGAGCCTCTCTGTTCTCCAACTTCATTTCACCGTGCATTCCTTCTCGATTGTGGTCATTAGTCACCAGTTCTACTTCTCCCTCAAAATCAAGCTACTATCCTCGATGAGTTTTTTCCTTTGTTTGAAGCTTTAATTTTCTTCCTTTGTTTTCTGTCAATTTCAAATCCAAAAGAAGAAAAAGGGGAAGAAGAGGCTCTCTTGGGTGCCGTTAGTGCTCCAATAAGCCACTCCTCATCTTCAACTCCCCAATTTTGGTCGACACTCGACAACGCATGCCATGGATGGTGTTCGTTGTGGGACTTGCTTTCAATTGCGAGTGTCATCAACGAGCAAAGTCGCCGTCAAGATAGTTACAACCGGTGGAGCCATGCACGTCATGGAGTGATGAAGTTTAGTTTGCTGCAATTTAAGTCGGCATTCCATACGGTTTTGTTAAGGTTGGATGAGAAAGTGGTTGCATGTTTAACAATGCAGGTAGAGAGAGAGAGAGAGAGTTATGAGCCATATAGAGTAGGCGACGTCGACGGTTATAGTTGTCGGTAAGGGGAAAAGTACCAAAAGAATAGCTAAACTTGTTGCATTGGTACTAATTCAGTCTTAAATCTTTCAATTGTATCAATTTAATTCTAAACATTTTGCATTTATGTAAATTCAATCCATATGGCAAAATTAGGCTGCAAATTACTGACGTAGACACCGGCTGTCCTACGTTGCACTGCTGATGTTGACGTGGACATTTTCTTTTATGATTTTTTTGATTATTTTTATAATTTTTCTTTTCTATTCCTTTCCATTTTCTTTTTGGAAGTGGCTTGTCGCCGACCTGGGCGAGGGTCGGAGAACACGAAATCGAAGGTCCCATCACCGGCAGCAGTCGATGCGGCAAGCTCAAGATCACCAGAGGCCGCGAGGCCTTCTACGAGACCTCGACCGCTTCTGCCATGCCGATCACCTTCAGAGCAAACACATCCTGCCTGCTCCCCGACTCGAAGCACAGGGCCTACGAGCCTTGCGGCAGGAATCCCTCCAACACCAAATTCAGACACACTGAGCCCGGACGACCTCGATCCAATCCTTTATGTCGCCACAGCTTAGGGGGCTCGAGACGGTGGATCGGACGGCGTTGGTGGCGGTTGCGCCGGAGACGACAAAGTTGAGATTCCCCAACGGGGAGAGGAAGTAGAAGTCGTCGAGCTTACAGGACTCGCCGGCGGTGGTGACACCGTAGGCGAAGCGGAAGGAGGAGGAGGACGCCAAGGACGAGGGCCCGCACGAGAATGTTCCTCACGGAGTATGTATGTACGTGTGTGTGTGTGTGTGTGTTAATATGCAAAAGAACGAAAAAAACAATCAGTGAGATTCACAGAGACAGAGAGAAAAGGAGAGGTGGGATTAGTGAGAGCAGAAGCGAGCGGAGGTGTGGTTGGCGCCGACGAGGGGGAGGCAGTGGGAGGAGTGGCAGATGGGGAAAGGAGGAGGAGGAGGTAAGGCCAGCCCTCGCCGGCCATGGCACGTGACCAGTGGCCGGCAACTGGCCACTATAAAAAAGAAAAGGGAAAGAAAAAAAAAATTTTATTAAAAAATATTTAAAAATTATAAAAAAAAATTATTCATGTCGACGATGATCATGCCACGTGGAACCGGCAGCATTTACGTCAGTGATTTCCGGTCTAAATTGGCTAGATTGATTGAATTGATTCAAATGCAAAATGTTTAGGACTAAATTGATATAACGAAAGATCAAAATTGAATTGGTACTAATATAGTAAATTTAGAATTTTTTTTTAGTACTTTTCCCTTCAAAAGGTAATGGCAGCCAGCAGCGTCGGATGCGACATGGTGCGTTAGGTAGTGGTCAAATACATTGGTTGCTCGAGAAGGAGAAGTGGGAATTAATGGAGGAAAACACGTCTCATTAATTGAGATTCAACGTGTTGGTATATCGTTTGTTTGAGGGACGTAAATTGAAGATGTAAATCTAATGAGGGGACCCCAATTCTCAATCTATCATTGGATTTAACATTCGAAATACGTAGACATATCATACACAATTAACTTGGATTGCACTACAACAGTAATTCTACGGTTGAAGCCATGCGCCCTCATTTCCAAAAAATCTTGTGCCCATGCTCTCGCGATGCGATAATCTTGTTTTCAAATGGTTGCTCCCTTAAAATCGCGTTTTGGTTGCTCCACGACTTCTTGGACTCCGTTGTTGCCTCGCTCTCCGGTGACTTCAAACTCAGAACTGCATCTTGATACCTCAATCGGTAATCCGTCACCTTTTTTAATCAATACCCTTGTCGATCATCGCAAACATACGTCACCGTATATCGACAACTCATTAGTGGTCATTGATATACATCACTATCGATAATATTCCTTATGGTCGGCGATAATGGATCACGTGCTTAATTATATCATGTACTCTAGTCACGTGCCTATCTATATCGACGACCTGATCAATTTTCGGTGCAAACACCCCCTTTCAACTGGAACGCGAGTCGCGTGGCGTAATCATGGCTAGTTAGTGGATATGTAAATGAGTGCGCAATATTCAAGATTGCGGCAAAATTTACCGCATCATTCAGACCGATGGGACTCTACTCTTTCAGCGTTCTGCAAACCTCTCGTTCTCGAGAGCTAATCTCGCCTTTTTGGCTCGTACCAAAGGAGTCGTGATCGACTCGATTGATGACCGTGTCAGCTGCACGACCAAATGGGTCGAATTTCGTGGCCGTTGGCAAGCGAGGTTTCTTCTCTCGCACATCATTCCGGTGGCATCAAATCCTTCATGAAGAGGCCATGAAGATTCTACGCCTCATAGTTGGCCTTCGTCACGTAGTTGATCGATTGTTATTATTGTTTTTTTTTTTTTTGGTCCTCTTTGGAATTGGTTATGTGCAAGTAAAGGAATCCTTTGCTTCTCAAAAGGAGCATACGCGATGTCATTCCCATCACTTGCGTGCCCTCGCAAGTTCGTATTCCTCAACAGATCCGACGCCGTATTGTATTGTTGCCTTAATCTAATTGATTACTCGTTATGCGTTGCTTAATTGCGGTTGATTACTATAGCTTAAGGAGCATATGCGATGTCATTCCCATCGCTTCGTGCTGTTCCCTAACCCGCTTAAGCTACAGTACTCAACCGCGAATCCGATTCCAAGAGTCTCCAACCGCGATGATATCTTACAGCCTCGGGATAATTGAACACCAAGCTTTTCTAATGAGCTTGTGCACGATATTTCTATCGGAATACGAATTTTTTAAATGGAAATGCTACATACGAGAACCTGTACGTAACCGGGATGTTTTTCTTACACGAATAGGACTCGGAGCCGATGCGGCATTGCCTTAACCCAGGATTGCGATGTGGGAGAAGCCACTTCTCTGCAAATTGTGTAGAGATCGTCCCTAGAATCTTCAGGTTGAGATTGCTCGTTCATCAACGGGGCTAGTGAGTTTGTTCTATTTTTGCCAAGTCAATGTAGAAAACATCTAAAGTTCTAAGAGTACGAAGAAAAACATTTGCAGTTAACAAACGAAAAAACAAAGGAGAAAAAGAGAACACTTTGTACTTCCACTTGCTTGTTCGAAGCCCACATCGACAAAGGTTGACAATTTTGGCAGCTAGCATAGTTATCATCAAGTACAGTATAACCATCTTTGTGCATTATCAGACATATCTAGAAGCTTATAGCAAGGGACGATTAATCCAGTTGTAGGAACGCAAGGGAACTTGTGCCTACCTTGAACATAAGGGGCCAATTCTGGCATCAACATCACTGCCTGCCGCACTTGTATTTAAGTGCAAAAATGTCGTAACGCGTCGTAAAATTGACTTACGATATCACGACGAGTCACCGTGACCAATTATAAACTAGCCGTGAAAAAGAAAAGGGTCGAGGGAGGGATGGTACCTTAAAAATTCCGAGATAGGAGAAGATTGCCCAAAAGCTCAGCGAGCCCCAGCCAATCGGGACCGTGGCAAGGACAAAAACAGTCACTTTCCATCAAATTCCCCCTTTTGCACCAGAGCTAGCCATCCATAGATTGACCCGTCGAAACAAACTGTTATGTCTAAGCTTGTGACATCCTGCGTTGATGCTCGAGATAACCGGACAAAGGTCGGTCGGTCGCGCCATTTTTCGGCACATGAGAAGTATCGAATCATCTAAACCACAAGTATTGGAAAACATCATCCCTGGACTCTAAATCTCTCTTAAGGAAACTCTTCCTTTCCGAAGATCGTCGTTCCGAAGAAAGAGATTAGAGCCCGGAGAGGACTCCCCTGACATGAAGGATACCCTTGCCGTGTCCAGAACCCGGCCGTCAATGCATCATTCATCTACTGGTCCGCCATTTACAGACCCCGATGACCGATAACACAAAGGCTCATGCAGACATGGAAGAATGAGTTCCAGCATCTCGGTAATCTTTGCTGACTTATTCGATAGCTATATTTTACAGTAATGATCATCTTCATGATCAGCCAAAACCTGAATTAGGCTTCCACATACCCAGCTTGCGCTTGCAATTGCATGTAGAAGAAGCAACATATGGCGAATAAAGCCTACGATAAAGAAGCAAACTGTTTGTGCCGAAAACAATGTGTGGATGCAGGATTAGGTAGACATTCTCTTTACCGAAGTGAAAGATGACCTGCAAGATCAATGATGAGCTCTTGCTGTACGAAGTCTAAAGGATGATGGGAAAACGAGCATAGACAGGCAAGCAGCACCGGCAGTTTAGCAGTTGGACCAAGTAGATGACATATCAGACTTCGGTCGTTTCGAGAGTGCTAGACTTGGACAAGTCCTCCTTCCCAACCAAGAAAAGTACAGCCACTATCTATCGAAGAAGTCATCATTTCACCAGAACGTGCAGGTTTGCTGGAATTTCACTGTCGGACCCCTCGAGGGCCAAGAACTGCAAGAAGCTAAAAGAACCGGCTTAAGTTCTTCAATGAACAGATGTTCCACTCGATAGACATGCATCCCTCACACCAAATCGTTCCTGTTAATTTCTCCTCCCAGAAGGCCACTACTTGTCCAATTATTGCGGATTCGATGAGACAATATCATAGAAGAAAGCGAGAGAAAATGAACGCAAATAGTTCGCTCAACTAGGGAGCGCCAAATAATGCTTGAATTGCTCACTGTCATTAGCTAAATGATATTCACATCAAATTTTGATGATAAACACTTGCAATGATCGAAACCAAAATGAAACATCCAATACTCAATTATCCACAGCACCCTCGCAGTTTTGGCCAATCGCCCATATTTATAAGAAAGAGGCTTATTGAGATCGAGAGAGATATCGATATATAACTAATTATCAACCTAAACCAGCACTTCTAAGCAACTAATCGCCGGTGACAAGCAAGGAGGAAAAGGACCCTTCCACGGTTCCACCATCTACCCAATTCGCAGAGAGCCAAAAGGAAGCCATTTGGAGTTCCATTAAAGGTGCCCACTCCCTTTGCTACTTCTGCAAGAGAAGAACCCATAGATGAAGTTAGATTTCTCAAAATGACCGATTTTTCAGATAACCAATCAATTCTTTTCCGGAATTGCTCAAATGGAGCTGATTGTACAACTCAATAGAACAGAATTGTCCATTTCCTAGTTGAGAATTCCGAGAGGAGACAAGGGAAACAGTTGAATCTGGAAACTGACAAATAACAAGAAAGGAAGGAAGAAACAACCCCTGATCACAGCTAAGCCAAAGTCAAACATCGGCTCAGTTTTCTCGGAAAATCGAGGCAAGCAGAGAAAGATTCATCATTTTAGTTCTCGTTCGGCTCATCAGGATGGGAAGACAGGGCAAATTACCTCTGGATATTCAGGAACCTCTTCGACTTTGTACGCATCAGCTGTCACTTCCGTCAACCACAATCCAGGAAAAAGAGTCTGCGGTAAACAACAGAAGCAGCTTCACATGGCAATTAGAAGGAAGAGGAGAACAGAATGCAGTTCAAATTATCAAGCAAGCAAAACGATCCAAAACATCCACTCACATCCAAATTCTTCTGCACTGCCCTGTTTCTCTTCTTCGGCCTACGCGGGGGCCGATGTCCGGTCATCGCCATGAAATCCGCCTCGATTTCCTTCCTCTTGAGCGGCACCGCGAACTCGTCTCTCTCCTCGTTCTTCCCACCATTGCCGCTACCATAACCACCACCACCACCACCAACATCAACCTCCTCGCTCCTGGTCGGTGAATCACCGAATTTCGCTCCTCCATACACGAAGGTCGGACCCTTATAACCCGGCCTCCTCGTCCTCAGATTCCACGGCACAGCCACCTGCGCCTCCGACACTTCCTTATTCTCGGCCAGAACACCGGAATCTTCCTCCCTCTCCCCCCAGAGCTCATCGCTCAACCTCCTCTTCTCTCTCCGCCCTCCCACCCCGTCCCCGCCGCCGCCGCCGCCGCCTCGAGGCCCGAGGACGACCACCCCCGGCCTACCGCCCAGCTCCCGTGCCTCGCCCGCGTCCTCGGCGTCCGATCCGATCCGCCGCCTGATCGCGACCTTGAGGGATCGGCCGCCGCCGCCGCCGCCGTCGTCCGGGACGCTCGTGCCGGGGCTGCCCACCTTCACGCACCGCAGGTGCTTCTGGTTGCTCCACTTGAGGCACGGCAGCGCGAAATTGTGGAGCTGCTTCGGCCCCCCGGAGGAGCCCATCGCGGCGGAGCCCCGCGCGCGCTCCCGCTCCTTCAGCCTCGCGCTCACCATCGCCGCCGCCGCCGCCCGCCGCCCGCAGCACGAGGAGGACAGGACCCCCGAGAATCTCGCAGAGCAAGAGGAGGAGGACGAAGCAGCTCCCCCCGAGCAGGCGAAACGAACCGCTCTTGATCTCCGGTTTCTCGGTCAGTGTTTTTTTTCTCGGGAAAATTTTTTTCGAAAGTTTCAGAGCGACAATGGAAGTCTCTCCCGCACGAGCAATTTGGCCGGGAAAGCCTCGGCCTTTTATACGAGGAGCGAGGGAGCGACAACTTGGTCATACGTAGAGAAGGAGAGGCGTTAGGATCTGGTCTTTCGAGGATGAGATCGCCAACGTGAGCCGTCCGATCAAGGGGGGGCCCCACCCCTCAAAATGCAGCATGTTTTGAATAGTATTCCCAAAAAAAAAAAGAAAAAAAAGGCGAAGAAAATAGAGCAACTAATTCCTTCCTCTAACGAAATCTGTAAAATCGATGGTAATTTCTTCTTTTTTTTGTTTTGTTTTGTTTCTTGTGCGAGATTAATTGTATGGGACTCGAGTTGCTACATTATCTATAGACCCTGCCAGATTTCTTTCCATCGATGCGCTTCGATTGCTGTTTTCGACAGTTCGACCGATCTTATCTTATGTATTGATTATGTGAGACCGCAGTTGCTAAATTGCCTGTACACCATATGAGATTTTTTTCCAATGATGCACTATGATTGCCGTTTTCGACGGCTCGGTCAATATTATCCCAAGCATTAATTATGTGAGGCTAAGGTTGCTATACTGTTCGCGGACCTTCTGAGATTTTTTTCCATCGATGCACTCCGATTGCCATTTTCGACGAATCGGTCAATATTATCCCGAGCATTAATTATGTGAGGCCGAGGTTGCTGTATTGCCCGTAGACCTTGTGAGATTTTTTTCCATCGATGCACTCCGATTGCCATTTTCGACGACTCGCTCGATATTATCCCAAGAATTAATTATGTGAAGCCGAGGTTGCCATATTGTCCTAGACCATGAGAGATTTTTTTCCAGCTATACACTCCGATTGCTATTTTCGACAGCCCGATCAATATTATCTCAAGCACTAATTACGTGAGGCCCGGGTTGCTATATTGTCCACGGATCATACGGTATTTTTTTTTTCCCAATGATACACTCCGATTGCTATTTTTGGCAACTCTGATAATGCAAGCATCTTATTGATAAACGAACCAATCAAAAAATATGTTGTTACCATTGATGCTCATTAAAATACTTTTTATTTCAAATTTATCTTACCGCATTGCAGCTAGATTTCAATCTTTTCAACAAACTATGCACATTCCAGTTTTTTCGAGATAATGACATTTTCATGCTGTCTTTTCAAAAAATTAGATATTGAAAGCAACGACCTCCTATAATTGTTGTTAAGGCATCCTATATTGCTTGATTGTGGAGTTTATATGCTCATTATATGTATGTGGTCTCCCTTCACTTATCTATTTAAGCTTTTGGTTAGACTTTCTAACATGGTATTAGAGTCAAGTTGTGCCCTGATTTATATTGCATGTGCAATCACCATGTTCGTCAAATTTCACGTGCCATTTCTAATCTGGCTTACACGTGAGAGGGGTATTAAAATATCAATATGTATGCTCATTATATGTGTGTAGTCTCCCTCCAGCTATTAATTTAACTTTTTGAGTTGGACTTTCTAACAATAATGACTTTTAAGGAATAATACCTTTCGTCATCTATCTCGGACCTTCCTCTTCCAACTATTTGTAGTGTTTTTATCGGCATGTGTACATGGAAAAAGATCGTATGATGTTGTTTTTGCATGTTTATCGGCAGATGCCCAAATGATTTTTCGTTAGTTTTCAATGAAAGAAAGAAAGGTAAACTTAATCCATATCATGGATTTACAATTGACAGGTTAAAGACACGTGTCTTTTTTTATTGTAACTATTGTCCTTGTATAATAATAATATATGATTCCAGAATTAATTATAAAAAAAAAAGTTACGGTCTTCATGTTTTTTTTTTATCATTTTGAATCCCTTCAATTTAAAGAGGCTCAATGTTTTAATTTAGACAATGCCCCGAGTAATCCATAGTTTTTTTGGATCAAATGTTACTTATTTTGGTTTGGGTCAAATGTTACTTATTTTAGCGACCAAAAAAAAAATGTTACTTATTTTGGCGCGGTTATGTTTTGGACAATGGATTTCTCTCTCCTTCTGGCTATGTTGGAATTAGGGTTAAATCTTGTCAAGATCTAATGATTTTCAAACGACCATATCTTTTTTCATTTTCTCATTTTAATTAATTCCGTTTGTCTTCTGTCTCAGGAAATTGGGATCAAAGAAATCAACATCCAGACCAGATGAACTAAGTAAAACTCACGAAGGAAAACCAGGGCCATTATCACGTGCACCCGGGCGCAGTGAACCGAGTTCGCGAGAGCCGTCGGATCAGGCGGGACCCGCGCGGGTCCCATCCCAATCGGAGGGCGCACGTGGGGGGGGACCGGGCCCCCCCACCGCGGCAACGTGAGAGTTTTTTTGTCTTCCGTACCCAGGGAAGGGGGGGAGATTCCAACGGCTACCTGCGACTCGATTCCCTTTTACACGTAATGAAACTCCAAAACTCGGCAAACCGACCACCAGAGAAAAGCCTTCTTTACAGCTCGGCAATGGCTCCTCCTGCAGTCCCCCACTCGCGATGATGATCCCCATCATCACCATCACCATCATCATCAACATCAACATCATCATCCCTTTTAAGGCTCGAACCTCGTGCCTCGACTCACTCGATACACCGACAAGCTCGCCACCAGCCCTTTTCCCGCAGCCAGAAAGAGCGCCCATGGCAGGGAGTCCCGCCGCGGCGACGATCCCCAGAAAGAGGCTCCTCGTCCTCAAGAAAGTGTCCAGCTTTCTCAGGAGATCCGCCTACCTGGCCAAGATGAGCAAGCCCGTCATCGTCGTCCCGTGCCTGGCTCTGCTCAGGAGATCCGCGAGGCCGAGCAGATTCGATAGCTTGGGCAACTACCGGTTCCTCCGGGAGTACGAGTTCTCTCCCTCCAGGACCCCGCTCATCCACCGCTACTGCAGGAAGAAGCTAAAGCTGAAGGGGAGGAGGAGGAGCTTCAAGGAAGACGTCCGGTCGCTCCTGGTCCTGTGCAGCTGCCTGGGGAGTGGGGGGAGGTCGTCCTCAGGTTGGGAGGAGGAAGACCGTTTCTTCGCTGCTGCGGGGACATTCGCCGCCGAGCCGGCCAGTGACGCGCTCGAGGAGGAGGAGGAGGAGGAGGAGGAGGAGGAGGAAAGCGGCGGGGATTCGGTCGATCTGAGAGCGGAGATGTTCATCAGGAGATTCTACGAAGAGATGAGGATGCAGAGGCGGCTCTCCCTTTAGACGCGGAACGATCCCAAGGTTCATCGCATCTTGCAGCATTGCGACGGCGAAAGATCGTCGTATCTCTCGCGTCATGTGAATCTGTTTTCTTGTTCTCTGCTCTCCGCAGGATCTTTTTTTTTTTAGAGAGATTGCGGGGGAGGGGTGTTTATGCATTCTTTTGATTCTTTTTTCTTCCGGGTTAAGATTGTTCGGGGATATCAGAAAATTGTCAGTTTTGGGTCTTTTCCTTCTCATCTTTTGTGTCAATTGGAGAAAGTTTGTGAAAGTAGAAAAACTTGATTCCACACATTAAAAGTACAAGCACTTGAATAAGTGGGAAAGGCATGGGAACAAAAAGTAGAAGGAAAGTCGTTCCCTAACCTAGTGATGCATATTTCCAAAATAAATAGATTAGTTACTTTCTATGATGTTAAATCACTCCGGGAGGGCAACTCGTGATGAATGGGCTTTTGACAACGAAATCACATATGGACTTACCTATCAAGTGAATGGGCTTTCTCAAGTTTATAGGACCCTTGGGCTCTAGCCACCCTCCGAATTGGTAGCTAATGACATATCTCAATGAGTTACTTTCTCGTATTGATGCTTCTTGGTCGCATGATAAATTGCGATCGCTGTGTTTAATTCAAGGTGGGTAGGGTCAATTGCATCGTCCCAACTCAATTCATTGATCATATATGTACAAGAAGGGAGATTACAAATCACGCGCTTACAAGTAGATCCGATCTCACATCAACTATCTCATTTTCAAAAACTGCCGTTGGTACTATAGTATTGCTTTGTCCATAGAGATATCCATTGAGGATCTCTTTCAGTTAAGTTAAGGCACCAGTTAGTCATTAGCGGGAAGTCCTCACTGTAAGAGGAAAGCCTTTGTTTGAAGTTCCAAAGCAGATGGATAATTAATCATTTGACACATCTAAATGGCAAGCGACCGACTTAATGTTAGAGATTGAATTCTAACGGAAGTGGTTATAGAAGGAGCTCTTATCGTGAGAGTATCTGGTGTAAAAGATTTTGTAAGTGCTCAATTACTAATTGCTGTCGATATTAGGTTAGAGTTTAATATGCTGTTCGAGAAGAAGCAGCTATTTCATATAGTCTGAGGATGGAAGTGATAAAGGCCATTGGTTGATGGGTTCTCGAGACTTGATGCCTTTAAACAGCCGAACTATTTCTTCCTCTTTCGAACCTTGAATAGTTTCAATTTATGTCATGTGAGTTCCTAGCTTCCTCCAATCCTCTCAGATGAAGCTTTGTCTAAGTTCGAATTGCCCTAGCTAGATTCAATAGAACTGGATTTTATAGCAACGGGCTAGGCATACTGATAAGAAAGGCACCAAGATGAAAGAAATACAACCGCATGCAATCAAAAGCCATGAAGGCACAAAGCTAATTCAACCTCCCCCGACTCGCCCATTAACATTGGAAGATAGGAGAATAAGTTCCCTCCTTTTTGTACCTTTTTAAGACAATTGAAATTGAATTGCCTTGCAAATATCAAGCATCTTCTAGCTCATTCCCTTCCTTCCAACTTTCCCCACTCTTTGGGAAAACTAGAATACTGAAGACCGTAGCGTGTCTACTAGTAGAATCCATATTTCTATTTTATTAAGATTAATAGGTTAGGAATTTGTAGTGTTCTTTTCATAAATCCTTCGGTTGAACATCCGGGCAGAGAAAGGGACCAAGAAACAATAGACTCTGACTGGCTTCACAATGGAAGGGCCGGGCTGGGCAGTGAGAATGACTTCCTATCAATGGTGCCTCGCCACTTCAATAAGCTAGCATGTTGTCTCAGATAGAGGGTGTTTCAGAAGGATGCTGAGATCGTAAAAAAATGTCGTATGTAAAAAGGAGCCCAAAGGACACACACAAGCGGATATCAGAGATGGAGGGGAACTCCAAATCCACCCCTAATTGGCTCTACTCTTAATTTAATGGACTCCCTTTTGTAAGGCACTCAACCAAGACTCTATGGCGAGATTTCCTTCATGGTTCTTATCCCAATTCTCTTTCTTACCATTTTAACAGATGAAGGCTGGAAGACCATTAGTCCTCTCTCTTGGTCAGTTGGGATTCCAAGATTAAGGCACGGACTAAATCATCAATTTCACACAAATCGCATAAAAAGGCAAGACCAGAGATAGAAAGCAAGACATGGACTTATTGGCTCATCTTGGTTGATCTCAACTACTGTAGAATGGATCCATCGATGAGTAAAGGGAGACAGGGGCTGCAAAATCTACTCATTCAAAGGGAAAGCACACCCCTTTATCCATGGACAATGAAACTCTTCGAGCCAGGATCTTATCTATATCGTTTCTCTTGACGTGATACAAGAGACAACTTTAGAGAGTTACTTAGCCGCTTGACCACTTCTCTAAAAAAAGATGTGTGGCTAAGTCGATCAAAGAACAGTGAGGGAATGAGTGGAACTTTACGTGGCCTGCACCGAGTTGGTACCTGACTGGGCTTTTTCCTTGATCAAAGCAGATTAGCTTGCCTTCTTCTTATCCAAAAGTCAATCGAATTGGGTGGCCCTTGCCGGGATCAACCTAAGTTAAATGGAGTCTCTATTGCCTTCCTTAAAAAACCAAATAATGTATCAACATGTGCTTACATTCGTTGGTTAATTAATTGATTCTGCAGGCGGGAAGTTCTTGAGAGATTCGGAAGCTGGATGGATACTTACTTGCAACTAGCGGGACCAGATTTCGATAATGCGGTGAGAAAAGCGCTCATTGTCTCTTCGAAATCGACATTGATGGTGGCGTGGACATGAAGTCTAGGTGATTCTCCTCGTTAAAAGGCGTTGATTGTGCTTTGCAAGCACAAAAATTCCATATCAAGTACGTCACCCTCTCGAAATGTGTGTTTCTTTTCAATTTTAAAGTGTGTCGATATGACTTCTTACTATTTAGTGAGGACTTAACCAAAGTTCACGGAGAGTTGCTAACAGAGACTTTTTTCATCCGTGAAATTGAAATAGCTCAAGGTCCCGCCATGTTAAAAGAAAGTAGTACCAGTTATTGGATGCATCATGATAGTGTTACATATAACATTGAGAAAATGTCCAAATCACTTGGGAAAATTTCCAAATAGTTCTTTGGAAAAGGTTTTGGAATCTATCGCGACTATATATATATATAGTGATCAGGTGATGTCTATTTCAATATTGGAAAACTTGAACAATTTGATAAAAATTCTATTTGTAGTGTAATAGCATTCTGATCAAGAAAGAAGAAGGATTTTCGTCAAAGGCCATTGGGCCTAGTGGCAGCTTTCTTGGCAAGAGGTCACCGGTTCAAAGTCTCCTGGGAGCGACCTGGTGTTGGGCTTAGGCCCAAGAAAAAGTGTACATGTATCCTACTTTGTCCAATTGATTTTGGTCGTATATTGATCAATCGAGCAATTTAATTACAAAAATGGTGTGATTGATTCGGATATATCGGTTTCTTGAATCGATGAACCAAATCTATATCGACCATCACATAGAAAAGTTCCTTTAGTCATAAATCAAGCGATGAATAATAAAGTGATGATTGGTTTTGGTAGGATGCAATGTAGTTAAAATTTACAATTTCCGATTGTGTTTGCACTCCTGTTAGTAGTAAAATAGTTTCTCAAATAACCACTAACACATATTGTGATAGCCTAGCGACAAATGTGTTATATGTCATCTTTCATAAGTTTTGATAGTTGATATTTTGAGTATCTTTTACGAGATAATAAGTTTTATAATGTGTTTTAATTGCTGGTCCGCCAACAACTTGTTGTCTCTAGCCATCTCCATCGAGGTCTCTCTCTCTCTCTGTGGCTTTAGGAAACGACACAACATTACATCGATAAATGACACAACTTTACATCGATGGTGGTGGTTCATGTGGGGTGGCGGCAGCGGCTATGGTACAATTCGGGATTGAAGAGAGCAAGTATGTGGTGGAGGCAGCCAAGCGCCTCCCTATCTATCCTCTTCATAAACACTAATCGCTGCAATACCTGAAGTGTCATGGGGGAGTCAACTCAATAAAGCATGCATGAGTCCATCCATGACTCGCGGGCGGGTCTTGCACTGTGGGAGTCGTACCGGAATCAAACTGTCTTGTTTACGTTACTTTAAATTTTCAGTACAGAGCTTAAGTCCAATTGGTCAGAAAAGAGGGGACCTTGTATGTCTTATACAGGACTAGCAGACATCGTACAAGCCATTATCGATGTCGGGTCTTGAAAGAAGTCACTCACGAATGTCCTGTAATTTTCGCAGCAAGAGGAAGTCTTTCTTTCCAAAAGCTGGGTTCTCCTCCTCCATTGCTGAAGTACATGGTTCCCCTACCCTACTCCGTGAAACTTGGTTTGCATCTCTATGGTTGGTGAAAGAAATAATGAGCGGTGAAAATGTTGCCTACACATGTGTTGATAATAAAATTGATAAATTGGGTCGATAATATTATAAGTATATCTAAATTCTTATTGAATTTCATAAAGTATGATGTTATAACGAGAAAGTTTCTGATCTCTTACGAAATCATTGCAGAATATGAATCGTGACATTGCGAGAAGATGAATTTTCCTATCGAATTCTCATTGGAGAGTTAAGAACCTACGATTGAGACTTGATAGTAATCGGATGACTTTCTCAAGGAAAGAAAGATCGGGTGGTCTTCTTTATCAAACGAGAATCATATCCGACTCCCATTGATATTCCTCCATTCAAACAATGGAAGCGCCTTTATATGATGCGTACACATTCGGACGCTGGGCAGTAGTACAGCCTTTCACATCTGTCCCTCTTCAAAGCGTTAAAGTTGCTGGCCATGATGGAAACTTCAAAGTGATGCTGTGTGTACTCCTGCGATTCTCTTGGAATCGTGGGTGCAGTAGCAATAGCAGAGCAATAGCAATATCAATAGCAGTCCAATGCTCACCTTATAGAATTAAAGGCCGTAGAATGTTGTCATAAGCTTATAACTCCTCTTATGGTTGAGAGGAAAATTATCCAAAAGGTCGTAAACTTATTATACTTTTATCAGTTCATTTCTAAGCTTTTCAATTTTACCAATTAAGTTTATCTGATCAATTTTGGCCAAAAATCGCTAACGTGGACACCAGTTGTCTTACGTGGCACGGTCGATGTTGATGTAGATAATTCTTAATAATATTTTAATAAATTTTCTAAGTTTTTTTCTAATTTTTTCTTGTTTATTTATTTTCTTCCTTTTCTTTTTGAAACTCCGCCTCGCACTGCTCGCAATCCTAGTGCTCTCACGTGAACCTCTCCATCTCCTCCAACATCAGAGTAGCCACCAACAATCGACCATCGCCGCCGCCGTCATTTCTGGCTGACATGGCGTCGTCCATGGGTGCTGGGGGAGGAACGACGCAGAGGGCTAGGAAGAAGAGAGAGAAGCGCTCGCAAGATTTGGCAACGGGAGTCCTCACCAGCGCTCACCCTTGCCCAGGCAGGCCCAACAAGGCTGATCCTCCGCCCAAGTAAGGCCAACCTGTAGAAAAAGGAAACAAAAAAGAAAAGTAAAAAATCTTTAAAATATTAAACTATTATTAAAAATTTTCCACGATAAAACCAGCCATGCCACATAAGATGGTCGACGTCCACGTTAACGATTTCCGGTCAATATTGACCAGATTGACTCAATTAATAAATTATGAAAATGTTTATGATTCAACTGACAAAATTAAAAGGTTTAGAATTGAATTGACAAAAGTGGAATAAATTTTAGACTTTTTGGACAATTTTCCTTAACGGTTGAGTTCATTAAGGCTAAACATCATCTAATATGAGTTCCAGAGTTTGATTGATTGGGTCAGATCAAACTCAGTCAAATTCAGACTTCCTGAACTTCAAAATTCAAATGGCCAAGGAAGTGGCGACATCTGGGGCCGGCCAATGCTTGAAGTTAGAAGTGAAGCAATCAAGTATGATTGGGTTCAAAGAAATACAAAGCGAAGAGTGTATCATTGTCTTATCTCCTGTTGTACGAAATCAAGCTGAACCATTTAGGAACATACATGTAATTAATTAAGAATACTTAGTAAGCACGGATGGTATTAGTTGCTTTATTTTAGCTCGCTCGACCACTGCGGGCCACGCCAACAACTTTCCCTTCCCATGGATTTTGTTTATGTTCGACAATGACAGATTATGTAAAGGATTAGTTCAAAACCTAGTAACGATAACTTTACAATGACATTAAAATATCACAACAACAACGGATGATAAATTGTTAATGAACGGGGGAATTTTTGTTATGGTTGTATTTGCAGAGATAAACAAGTACTAATAAGGATGGTCATCATCTCCAATTAAATGTTTGTCGAGTGCCGATGATTCTTGTATGGACATATAGATTCGCATGGCGGCCAACTGCCGTTTGTTGAGAATACTTTCAATATTGACTTTGGGACGCCATTCCTAAAAGATAATATCTCTCATGAAGCATGTCAAGATTATATTACAGGTATTCAGTTGAAGAATGAATTTATATTAATACCTCTCCCACCAAAATAAGAAGGGTGTGGTGTTTGTGTTTGTGTTTGTGTTCAAGGCGCGCGCGCGCGCGTGAGAGAGAGAGAGAGAGAGAGTCATGCAGGTCAGACAGTGGATTTCTGAGTAAGGTCAATTCTGCACTTGATTGATGAAGCAAAAAGCTTAGGTGGCCCAACCCCATCTGCGAAACTTGTGTTCAAGGCAAAAGCTGTGCGAATGAACGAGTTCTTGATCATAGTTTTTCGGCCCAAAGTTGTGTCTCACCAACCACAAAACGAGCTCTCCATTCTCGTGAAACCCTTTTTCCTGATCATGTCAAGAAAGCTCCCAAAGCAATCATAAACTTTTCCCTCCCCTCAAAGAGTGCACAACCCTATTCAAAACACATCGATTGTGCTCTCCCCACCCTACTTTGATTCTCTTTTCTCCTCTCTCCGTAGGGATCAAACAAAGAATAAGTGAAAATGATCATCAAACCCTAATTTAAAGTCCTAGGGAAAAGAACCAACTGCAGAAACACAGCCAAAAAGCAGCCAATCCCGCATAATCATATGAATCACCACCACACAACTACACAAGCATCTCCAATGACTTCATTTCTAAGTTGGAAGGTGATGCTGATCTAGATCTCCACTGGATGATTGCGGCCAATAAGATATGTTGGTCGGTCCCCCCAATCGATGACCCCCCAACAAGAGAGCCGAGAAGATTCCCACAAGGGGATTTGATCATACGAGGAGAACACAAAAGCAAACCGACTTGATGTATTATAAACGCTTTTGTGCACCCTTTTGGACCGAAAACAAATCTTCCATTTTAAGTGTGTGCCAGTGCCACACCCCTTCATCCTTTCCTTTTTCTCTTTTGTCCCTGCCCTTTCTTTGTGGGCGTTTAAGAAATTCTTTGTCAAAAGTTTGTGAGGAACTTCCTAGAAATACTAATCATGATTTGAGGGTGAGTTCATAATCTTGTGTTTTTGTTCCTTTATACCAACTTAGGACCGACGGGGGTGTTTAAAGGATCATATTGTAACATCGGACCGTAGATTGTAGGATCCCGAAAATTGCAACATTGTTACAAAAAATTGGATATTAAGATGAAATTTATTAATTGTGAATATTGTGTAAAAATCTCATGATTGCAAGATCTCCAAACTGAATCCGTAATATCAGTAGGATCTAATTGATCCTATGATTTACTTTATTTTTTTGAGATAGGAACCTTGTAAAGATCCTAGCAAATTAAGATCCTACTTAAGATTGAGACCATTTCTTAAGCTTCAAATCTTGGGATCCGGATCAGGATCCTAACAACCATGAAGTAGAAGAAGGTTTTCCCATTTGCTCTACTTGGCTATGTGATTCTCGAGAGCTACCATACGAAAAGAATAAGTAAAAGTTAGAGCGCAATTGAGTGTCGTCAATATGAGATATGAAGAAAAACCTAGAATATGCTATGGACATTTAGTCGATACAAATTCACTTTTTTTTTTAAATATACTAGCTATTCGACATATTTTCTAGAGGTTGGTGCTTGGTCGCATAAAAAACACCGAGCATGAATGTTGTCCTCAACAGTCTCTCTCTCTCTCACTCGAGTAAATAATACCCATGAGGCGATTGGACAAGAAACACACAAACTCTCTCTCTATATAGATTAACAATAACAAAGGAGGGACTGGGCAAAGAAACCTAAGCTCTCAATTATAAAACATACTGAAAGATCATAGGCATTTGACTAGTTAAGCAGAATTATTATATCTAAAAATGTCAAAGGCAGAGGAGAATTGATCTGCATGTGATCGGCCCCACATGGTGTTTTGCCCTGGTCAAGTCGATGGGCGACACTGACAGGGAGGCACTCAGCTAATCATCAAAGTGGTAGTTGGAGTTCCCTTGAGACCCCAAATTCTCGCACCTAAACAATATGTCTCACCTTCCAGATAGATATTCAAACCCATTTATGCAAAAGATCCACCTTATTTCTCCTCTCCACTTATCATAGTTTTAGTTTTTATTAGCACAAGAGGCTCCTGCTGGTCGACCATGAGGACAAGGGAGTGAATGTTTCATCTTTCATCTTGATGTTTAGATGAAAGCACACGTTAGTTTTAACTCAAAATTTAGGGTTTCATCGATTTATCTTAGGAACCAGCACTGGCTATTTCAAAGCTAGATGAGGCAAGCTTGACCTTTTAGCAGCTTTTGACTTTAATTCGAGAATTAGCTTGCGGTCACGTTCAATATATGTAGGGAGGACTATAGGAGTGACTAACTGAGGGAGCGAGCGAGAGCCGGCATGCCCGACCATTTCAGACTAATTAGGTTATTACAAAAAAAAAAAAAATTCGACATCGCTATCGATTTAAGTTTCTGCCTTCGTCTCCGAGGAGAATTCTATATGCGTATCTGTCAGTCAATCAAAACAAGAAAGAAAAGATCGCAGAGAAAACACAACTTCAAGATCTAGGAGTGAGTAGAAGCAAATTACCTCAATTTACCCCAAAAACATGTGTGGAAGTGGAAGTACTACTTTAACACAGTGTTGTACTAGCTTCCCGCTTTTGTCCAGACAGAACTACAATCTTTTCCGAACTTTGGGTCATTTCAATTTCAATCTGAAAGCTAAGCTAAGGCTTCACTTTAGCTCATGACTTTCCAAACTCGCGCCCGCAAGTTTCCCCCTTTTGACGTCATGACAAGGCTCAATGAAGACATGTTTTCTTCATTTGATTCTTTCACGGACCCAAGTCAAGTGGGAAACCCAAAATATCACCTCCGCACCAGGATTAGAATATGTTGTGTGCTAACATAGCACGAGATCGATGGTGCATGTAATAGTTGAAACACACAGCTTGATCCATGGAATTTCACTTTAAGCAAGATCAGAGGGAGAAATACCTCAATCACGGGAAGAGTAGAAAAAAATAATAAATCGAATTAATTCCTTAAAGAGAGATGTACAAAGGATCCATCTGCCTATATCCGAACCGAACCCGAACCTGAACTTGAATCAGCACTTCTAGATTATCCCAACACGATTCAACCCTAATTTATCCCGAGCAGCTAGCCGAGCGGACCCGTGTCCTCCGGTCACGGTGCGGCCGGAGCCAGGCTCAGATGCAGGTCAAGCCCCAAAGCGTCATCAAAACCAGGCCCACCCCCACCACTTCCTTTTGAAAACTTGCTCAATGAAAGCCCGTCGAGGACCGCCCTCCCATTGACCTGATTCTGGACCTGCTGCCCCGACGGGTCCCCTACGCCTACGCCGTACGGCACCAGACCGCCCGCCGATCTCCCGCCCGCGCCCTGGCCGCTCGCGAACACGCAGCCGTGCGACACTTGGAAGGGCGGGGCGGCACGCGGGACGTAAACCCAGGATGGGGAGGTGGGCGCCCCCGCCGTCACCACCACCGGCCCCACGGCGGCCAGCAGGTGCGGCGGCGGCGCGAAGGCCGAGATGATGGGGTTCCGGACGAGCGACGACACGGCGGCGTTCCGGCTGGCGTGCAGCTGGGCGCGTTTGAGCTGCTGCCGCTCCTTCTTGTGCGCGTTCTGGTGGCCCCCCAGGGCCTGCGAGTTGGCGAATTCCCTGCAGCAGTACTGGCACTCGTACTTCCGCTCCCCGCCGGCCGCCGGGACGCCGCCGTCCGGCGACCCCGACGGCGTGGCCTTGCGGCCGCCGCCGCCGCCGCCGCCGTTAGCGCTGATGGTAATGGGGTCGCTGACGGCCGAGTCCTCCTCATCGGCGACGTGGAAGCCGAAGAGCTTTAAGCGCGTGGCGGCGGCGTTGGGGCTACTTTTGGGCTGGCAATAATCCAATTCCGCCATGTCTGAGTTGAGAGAAAGAGAGAGACAGAGACAGAGAGAGAAGCAGTGGGTGTAATGGTATCAGCTAGAGAGTTTGAGTGTAAGAGAGTAGTTGCATGTGTTAGGGTATTTATACAGCTTCAAAAGGGTTTTCATATTAATATCGCAGAACACAGTACAAGCTTTAGAGATAGAGAGAGAAAGCTTTGGAGATAGAGAGAGAGAGAGAGAGAGAGAGATGATTAGTTGAAGCAGGAAGACATCCCGAGGAGGAGGAAGATGAGAACAGAGAGTGGGAGTGATGTGACGAACGCGGCCCCAAAAAATAAATAAATAAAAAGGGGGCACTCTCTCGGGGCCACCCACGAAAAATTAAAAAAAACTATAAAGAATTTGCAAATTGTCCCGGCAAAGTCTCCTTAATTGCCGAAATGCCCCTGAAGAACTATATGAGTAGACGTTTAGAGAAATGAGCCATAATTAACATTTGGTAAGAATACCACACGTTATCTATTATGCCGATTTAAATACCCGAATCTTAATATATGCTTGGAGTTTATAGTATTGAGGTTCGCCTCCTCGAGATCAATCGTGGATTCCATCTCTTTTGTTTACTCGTTCAATCCCTCGGAGATCGAATGGTTTCGCGATTAGTTTATGCGTTCGGCTTTTGATTCTTTTGGCTCGTAGCGGCTTGTTGTGGTCTAATTTATTGGGGGTGAGTGAGAGAATGTGATGCATGTGAGCGTCGGTTACGCGCGCTGAAATTAATTGGCTTGACCAAATTGGATTAATAGTCGAAAGATCGATCGGTCACTGTTTCAACAACCCGATGGCCCCTCTCTCCTCCCTCGTCTCCCTCTCGATCGGCTTCGGTTTGCTGCCAAAAATGTCGGGTTCCGACTGCACGAGCCTATGCTGTTGATACATGCAAAATAGACCCAGCGTTCCAAGTGGACGATGAGTAACGTAACCAGTATAGGCTTGTATTTTGAAAGTCGACGCGTGACTTGGTAAAAAAAGTTTCGCAAGATATGCTAATACATGTATCATGGCTCATTCTAAAGTTTTAGGGTTTCATGAAATTAATTATAGGGAGTTGTTTTTGCTCACATATTATAGTTGGCAGATTTCTTCCCATGCAATCACTACGCATGCTTTAGCTTATGTTGTCTTTAGGAGCAAGGTGTCTCCAAAGACAGATGAAGTTAACCTAATAGCTTGGGTTGGTTCTTTTGGCTATTGTCTATCTCTAGTGAAGATTCTTAAATCTTTTCCCCCTCTATCAGCAAACCAAAATAACAGGCAATACAATTGGGAGAAATTTCTAATTTGACCCCCGAAATAGAATACAAAAAAAGGATCTCGAAATTTTCTCCATTGGATCCAATTTTCTTTCGTTCCAATCCTGGTCAAGTTTAAGGACAAATTTGAAAGACCACGTTGCTCCAATCCCACATGTGCGAACTTTAGACAATGCTAAATGATTGGAGCGAATCGAACAAGTTTTGGTTGATCGGAAGGGCGTGTCGACATAAAAATCGGGTAGCGGGAATAGATTGACATTTCGCATCCACTTCACGGGCAAATCGGTACTTTCCCTCTCCTTTTTTGGTTGGGAAAATCCCACGTTCAATTTCTGCACGTCAAAGACTTGAAAAAGCAAGTATATCCAAGATTGCAAAGCGTTGGATCCGTAGAACTCTTCTGATTTAGTTCATATTTTTTTAATTGGCAATCAAGTGTTATTGACACTAAAGACTTCATAATAGTGCATAATAGCCAATGCAAGGATGGATGTGCACAAAACTTTTCTAAAGCACCTCTCTCTCTCTCTCTCTCTCTCTCTCTCCCCCAATGATAATGGGACACGTGGCACGGATTTAGGAGCCGACAGCACCACCCCATGAGTCTTTGTTTCCTGGTGTCATGGGGAGAAAAGTCAAAGACATCCATGCATGCAAAGAGCTTTGATGGTGTCCAGTTCTTGCAACTAAGCTTTACCCATGAGATCTATCACCGTCGGTCCTCGTAAGATCGCTCGCTCCTGGCCCCACGTGTCACCATCGTGTTCGCCCCCCGCATCCAGCACCAGATACTCGTGTTTCACATCACCCCAGTGGCATCTCTGCCCTTTTCCTCTCTTCCCTCTTCTTTAAATCCATAATGTTTTCAAATCTCAAAACTCACGGTCCGATTGGTCAAATTTTCAATTTTGAAAACGGCAATTTTCCGTGTTTAAAATCACATCATTTTTTTTTTCACTCGCGGCCCGTCGCTTTGTGGGCAGAGGTTTATTCGATGTGCGGAAACTGGGTCGCCCGTCTGTATTATGTCGAAAAGAAGTACGAATTATGTCTCTAAAGAATTAAGGAAGAAGAAGAAAGGACAATGAATGTGATGGCAATTTTGGGAATGAAGTCAACACGGGAAGCTTTGAGTTTGATTACTCTCTCTCTCTCTCTCCCTTTGAAAGGGGTGATAAAAATTGAATGTTTTCAGGTGTTTGAGGCTTAAAAACTATTCGTTTTTGGCCCGCCATTACGTGGTGATGATGGGTAGTTGTTTAGGATGTTTGCGTGATTGGCGTTGAAATGGATTTTAATATAGTCTTCGCTCTCTTTCGGGGAGATCTCCTCGAATCTTTCTAGAGAGAGAAAAGAGGGGTTAGCCTTTGTGTAATCTTCCACTTAGGGTTTTAAAAAAGGAAGCCAAAAACGAAAGAAAAATCAACAAAGGAAGAGAGGGGCATATGTCTGCTCTCTATGTATATCATGCACCGTTCCAAAGTCTTAATCTCAACCATCGAGCATGACCCACCATTGTCTCCTCTCTTCTTTTCTCATGTGTGTTCCTTTCCCCCCATCTTCTCTCTCTACTTTTGGAAATAGTCAAAATTTCCCATAAAAGAAAATCTTATCCTCCATGATCGGATCGATCGCCTTTGGCTTTCGAAAGGTTACGCTCTTTTTCGACCGTTTGATTCGATGATTAATCATCATTGCTCGAGGATAAACGCATAAGCTGCTATGATTAGTTTCCCTTGTCAAGTGAATTCCCCTCCTCCACCAAGAAATGGAACCATTATGTATCACTTGGGAAATTGGAAAGTCAATCTAGTTCATCATGCCACCGTTTTGGTATGATTTCTAGACGCCCTTTTCGTGCATTATTAAATTTGTTATGAAATTCTGCGATCTTGATGTAAAAAGGACATGATTAAACATATATTCGGTGTCCAGATTGTGTTGAACACATTGTTTCACCGAACTATGTATGCACACGACATCATATGTGCCCGGAAGTTAACTTTGCTCACCACGCCTGTAAAATGATTATAGAAGAGAATTCACAAAACTTTTGACATCAACTTCAGAACCCGGTAAAAGCTGGAGGTGAGAAAGATGTGGCAAATCAATTCAAGCATAATTTAGATTGGACCCATGATTCTTATTGCTTTGATGCAGCGATAGGCACATTAAATGTCCTAAATTTGTCACACGGATTGCATACTACCTTAAAATTTTTCGAGCAATCGGCTCGACGTAATATTCTTAAATGATGCGATCAAGTATTGTTAGGGTTTTTTCTCGCCCAAAAATCACGCATGGCACAATTAATAATTTGGCCATGTGTTTTTTTTCAACAAGAAAAGTCATCCAAAGCAATCGATTAAAATAATTTTAAAAAGTTTGAAAACTCGAATGATTAATTGAAAGACGACTCACTCGTAAGGAATTTCGAAGATTTCTATGCACTTTTTCACAATGCATGAGACATAAAGCAACTTTGATTTAGGGTTAAACGTGAAATGGGGGGTCTCGATGTACTGAGAAAAAGAAAGTCTTTTGCTTAACCTAACCCCACTTTGTTTCCTTTGCTGTGCGGGTCCAAATGATTTGTGATCATTTCTTTAGGTCTTTCTCACTCATGCCAAGGCTGGAGATCAAGGTTGGGGGCCACTGCGCCCTAACTATCTATGGGGGGGACTCCATAGCTGGATTCACTGGAAAAAGAAACCCACCGAATTGACATTGATTGCTGAGTTGATGTGAACATCAAACATTGGAGCTGAGTTTTAGTTCACATGTGCTTCTTAGGAAGAAGGGGTGTCTTGTCGCTTGTTTGGGATCCGTGGAGATCGAGACCTTGTGACGTGTGAAGGGGGGCTTTTTACCCTACAATCCGAGGAATACTTCTTTTTTCATTCACACACGGGGTCCGTCCATTTTTTTAGGGTTTCTTTTTTCTTTATGTATACTGACTCCTAGTAACGGAAGTACGATAAAATTTATGTGGTTACAACGTTTTGGCTTGGGGAAATTGATCCTCCGATAGTGATGGTCGAAGGAGTCGATGGTGGTGGTGATGATAGTAAACGAGCTTGACTGGATGGGGGTTGCAATTACGAGGAAAACAGAGAGATGTTAGGATCTTGGAAATCGTAGATTTTTCAAAAGTAGTATAGTTTTATTTGTAACTCTAAAACGAGATTAGGTTTTAGAGAAAATTCCCTCTAACCAAGATATGACCCTTTTCGCAAGATTAAAAGGGCAGATTTTTTACAATTGAAGACATCACAATTTGAAATAGTTACTCAAACTAGCTTGAAAGTACATCCTTTCTAGTACTTTTTACCGCAACATAATGTGGAGCATGAATTCAAGACTTGTCATTTCTCAACTTCTCCACCTAGAGCTAGAGGCATTATTCTTCCTTTGCTGAGCTTGAATCTTACGCTAACAAACAATAGTCATGTAAATCACTTCATTTCAAACCCAAAGAAGGGGCCGATGCCTCAACATGCCAGTGTAGCTAAGGCACTTGGTTTGGACATTACTTAAATCTATGCATTAATCCATTTGTACCATTGACCAAAAAGATATGTTAAACTATAGTGCAAACTCATATAAAGAGGTCACATGAAAAATTGAGAAAACTCCCATCTGGATCTAATGAAATCTATGAAAATAGGGTTAGTTTGGTCTGACAAATTAAGATATTACATATCTAGATCATAGGTAGATACCTAAGTAGGAATCATACATAGTAGACAATAACATATGAGACGAGAAAAACGGCAAAAGGAGCTACAATTTGTCAGAATGTGGAGGGTGGACATAGGCACAAGATTTTATCCACTGATGTAGGAAAACACATGTGAAGGTCCATCCAACATATAATATATCATATAT